GGTAAAGTTGGAGAAAGAGACAATAAATATTGGAATGTCTGATAACTAAACACTTCTTCAGACATCTCACTGCAGCATAGCTAAGGCTTCGAGGTCTGGAAGGAGGTTAATGATATCAGCCAGGGGTCCAAGAAATATGATAGCTATTGTTCCTCTTAGATACCAGCTGAATTTTGCCCTTGGGTTCTTCAACTCTGCAGTTCACAATGAAGGAAGTAGATCTTCCTCTATTAATTATCCCAAAGGAAGTAGGTTTTCCTATATTAATTATCCCTCTCAGCACTTTCTGACAGTAGGGCTCACACTGGGAAATACAATTCTTTCCCCTCACTCCCGGAACACGTCGTCCTGGGATCCGCTCTACCATCCCTAGGAAAGGGGTTAATTTAAACCCTGTCAGAGGTTGCCAAACCTCCATGAGCTAGTCGAAAGAAGCTTCTGTGAGGGAGGATGGTAGGAGGTAGGCTGCAGAATGTGGGAAGTCAGCATTTTAATAAAGAGAATCAAAAACCCATGAGCAGCAGACAAGACAGTCATGTCATGTTGTCACATTGGGAAAAAAAGAAGTCATTCCAGCATTCAAAGTTTTAAAATAGATTTTGAGCCGGCGTAGCAGCAATGAAGCTTAATCCAAATAAGTCGGAGGATGGGAGATAGGTTTTAACAGCATACCTAGGACTGGCGAAAGAAGGGATTTGGTTTCTTTGAGAGTTCCACTTTTGTGGTGCCAGAACTGAAAGGTCTTTGTTCTCAGGTAGAACTGGCCAGGGAGCAGGAGATCTGTAGCTGACCTTGAGCCTCTAGATTCACAAGGGTTTTGGTGATTATTTTTGGCACTGCACAGGTGTCAGAGGTAGACAAGAGTGCACAGCGCACCAGTAGGACCCATGCTTTGAGATGTCCAATTTGATCAAGTTGCCACATGATTTAGTTATGCACTGCTTGGATTACTGCAGTGGGCTGTATGTGGGACTGTCTTTGAAGATTGTTTGGAAACGTGGTGGCCTTAAAACGCTGCAGCTAGACTTCCGACAGGCACTGGTAACTAACTCTTCTATTACAAATGATTTATGACAGCTAGTCTGTTTCCAAGCCCGGTTCAATGAGCTGGTTATGACCTATCAAGGCCTATATAGCTTGGCCCCCAAGCTATCTGAGAGACCATCTCAACCCCCCCCAAAAAAAAGCTTTCTGGCTTTTAAAATATTCTGATGAGGTCCTTCTCTTGGTCTCACAGCCTTAAAAGCTTGCTTAGTGAGGGCACAAGACATGGTCTTGTCTGTGGCTGCAAAATGCTCCTGCCTGGGAAGATACCTTTGTTTCTTGCCTTTGTCCTCCCACTAGCAGTTAAAGACATCCTGTTGAGGCAAACCTTTTATTGACTTGGCCAAGTAAGTGTTATTAGGGTATGCTATACCACTTATACGCCTCCTTTCTCCTTAAAAAGGACCTAAGGCAGCGTACATCATTAAAAGAATATTTAAAGCTAAAAACAGTAAGTATAAACATGCTAAAAAGAATCTAACAAAGACTACATTAAAAAGTGATGAACAAAAGAAACACAAAAACACATTCAAAGCATTAAGGCACAATCATCAAAAAGCCCCACTCAGACAGCCAGTGACTAAAAGGATAGCTTGTCTGAAGAGAAGGGTCTTTGTCTGCTTGTGGAAGGACAGTAAAGATGGGGGCTCCTGTGGGAGGGAGTTCCAAAGTCTGGGAGTATGTGGACTATGATTTAAAGTTTTTTAAATTGTACATTGGAAACATGCTAGAGATCTGTCCTTGAGTGCATGGTATAAACAAATATGGGATCTTGTGTTATTGAAAAGATTAATCAGAAAAAATAAGGAATGAAAATAAGATTTTTAATAATTGTATCTCATTCTGGTTTCATTTTATTACTTCTGTCCAGTCATATGAGATTAATATGATGAACTCTTACAAGCAGTGCCTATAGGATATGTGGGATAATATGCTGGAGGTCCTCAGATCCTCTCTGTAAACCCTGTAACACATTTAATCTTAAAATATATCTTTTTATTGATGTATATTTAAAACATGTTGAATTCAAATTTTAAAAATATACCAGGAAGATATGTGACTTGAGGTACCGTGTTTCCCTGAAAATAAGACAGGGTCTTATATTAATTTTTGCTCCAAAAAAGACATTAGGGCTTATTTTCAGGGTATGTTTTATTTTGCAGTCATGTCATCATCTTCTGGTTGCTGCACAAGGGTGGAGGGTGGGGTTTCACTTAACTGGAGCTTATTTTTGGGGTAGGACTTATATTACGAGCATCCTGAAAAATCATACTAGGGCTCATTTTCAGGTTAGGTCTTATTTTCGGGGAAACTGGCTATGTATCTTCCAGCCTGACACAGAGCTTGGAAAATTTACTATGGTGTTATAGTTAAATAGTAGGGCAATTTGCAGGGTTTATGTGAATTATAAGACATCAGCTTTAATAATATAATTTAAAAAGTAGTTTTGTTACCAGTATTGGGTCCAGATTTTCCTCTTTGGGTTTAGCCATTCTCCCAACTAAGATGGGAAAAAAATGCAATCTGACACCTACAGGGTCTTGTTGAAAAGTTTATTCTGCAGAATAAGGAGACACAAGAGCTGATGCTCACAAAGAACCGTGTGTCTTAAGAAAAAGACAAAGATGACTTAATTTTTGTAGTTTCCCCTCTCCAGCTATATGTTGCTTGATTACGTTTTGGTGTGAAATTCCTGCCAGGTGGATCTTCCACCTACAGTCACCTCTCAGTACACATCTCAAAAGCAGTGGGGTTTGCCAGGTCTGTTTCATGTATGATAAGGCCCAGGAAACTGTAATGTTATAAAGCCGCCTAGAGTGGTCGAAAGACCAGATAGGCGGGATAATAAATAAATAAATAAAGCAAGCCAGCCAGCCAGCCAGCCAGCCAAGACACCTGGGAAGGAAACTGCAGAGATTTTGCTAAATCATTATCATCGTCCTCTTAGAACTGCAGAGCTGGAAGGAACCCTATGGATCATTGAGTCTATCCCCTGTTAAGGAGGCCCAGTGGGGAATCGAACTCCCAGCCTCATGACTCTGCAGCGAGGTGCCTAAACCACTGAGTTATTCAGCAGCTCATATTCTCACCTTCTAGTGTTCACAAAGCCAGAGATCAAATGATCCTCTATGTCCCATAAGAGGGAGGGAATTGGGCCATGTTAATAAAACCACAGACAAGCTTTTGGGATGCTTCAGACTTCTAAGGGCCCGTTTTATTTGTTGGTAACTCCTGTTTTATCTCTCTAGTGCTAGGCTGGGTAGAAAGGAAAGAGGCTGGTTTCAGTCCTGTTGAGCTTTGTTAAGGTAACAGCAAAACATCTCATTTCTTTCCAAGCCTCTGTGAAGCCCAGAGAAGGTCACAGCCTTTAGCTGCTGTTGCACTGAGCCTTGTCGAGTCCCCAACATCAGAGCTCAGGAACACCCCTGTAATTTTGGAGGGCTCTTGCCAGATTGAAAACTGCTCACCAGCAGTGAGCTGGTGTTTGTACCTCTGCACGTAGGCAAATGCCCTGGTCTTTTATTAGCATTTTCATCTCGTGCAATCTGGTCTAGTAGTAAACATTTGCTATTAAAGATACCACTAGGTATTTATTTACATGGCTGGATTCCCTCCTTGCTCCAGGGATCTACAACAACTTTATTAATTGCCTAGTTAAATAGGCTTGTGCCGCTCTGAATAGCTTTAGTGTGTGTGTGTGGGGGGCATGGATATGTGTGTGGTTTTTTTTTAAATTGTATGCACTTAAAGAGCAGGAAAGGATTTATTAATATAGCTCCCAGTATGCAAGGTGTGTTTTAATTGATCTTGTTCTAGAAGGAGTATTCAAAGGTTTATATGGCATCTAGTTATAAAAGTACATTATGGGGTGCTGGGCAAAAAGAGGACTAAGCTCCCTGGAGGAAATGAAATTTATAAAAAATATAATAGGCCAAATCCAGTTGCTACTCACAGCATAAGTATTGGCGCACCCTCCAGCTGTTGATTCAGTGGGTCTGTTCCATCTGGAACTAGCAATTGAAAGCATTTTTAATCTTTCCACTGACTTTTGAAGGGCTAGAATCAACTATTAGATTATGTTTTTAGTATTGTTTTGAAACTGTTTTAAATTGTAACACTTGTGACTTGCCTCCTAGCCTTCAGAGTAAGATTCCGTGTAGGTTCATAGTTGCCAGGACATCCCCATAAAAATTATGCCCCTTTATAAAATGATTTACTGAGGTTGAGAGAGTCAGTGTATCAGTCAACATGAACCACATCGGAGCAAAAATCCTTTTCCATACCCTGCTTTGACAAAGATATCCTGTTTTTTTAATCGATAGTTTCTTTTGATATCTCAAACGGGAAATGGTGGTTTAAAAATTTAGTGTTTTCAGTGGCATCGGGCACTACATGGTGGGGAATGTGAGTGAGCTGGGAATGCATGGGACATAATTCATTCCTGATCATTCATATTGTCAGATAAGTCTATCCAGATTTTTTTCAAAGGCATCCAGCATATCAAGAAGACATATCCCCCCTTCCTCCATGTAGAGCCTTATCACTTACTCTTCTAAGGCTTTACCAAACTGAATGCAACTTAGAAGAAATGCCTCTAGGTTAAATTGCTCTAATGCACTCTGAATTAGGGTTGCACTTAATGCTCGAGAACTCCATGTGGTATTCTTCTTTTCAACACTTTATTTTTAACTTTTGTTTGGCTTTTAGCCTGCAGTCATTATTAGGAATGTCATGTACTGTGGTAGCCATTGTACAAATAATGATATAGCATCTGGTCTCAAAAAGAGATCTTTGCATGGCACTTTAATGGTAACTCAATGTGAGGTTGGCTATTATAACTACTGTATTCTTGCATTCATCCTGACTTGCTTCTAAAGGATGTTTTATGAGCTAGACCCCTGTGTCTTCCAGGTTCTGATATGTAAGTAATTTGGAGGTCTTCTTTTGTTTTTAAGGTCTCTTTTGGGTTTGGATTCTCCAGTCAAGATAAACTCCATGGAAAGCAAGCTCCTTCTTAAGAGTAAAGAGCTACAAGACACACAGGATAAGTGCCACAAGGTATTTATTTACATGGCCAGCCTCAATCGTTGCTCCAGGGATCTGCAACCTCTCTGTGCCAAAGGACTTGCCAGACACTGCTGATGGGTTCACGGCTTCGGCGAATTGGTTTCCTCATCAATTAGAGGGAGATGAGTGTAGGCCATGTCTTGTTCTAGATCTGTTAATTCTCCAAGAGGAAGCTCTGGATCCTACCTAGACCTTTCCTTGGCCTGATGCTGACTGTGCTTTCCAGGAGGTGCCATTTCGTCTTGCAATGCTCAGCTGCTTCGGTTCTATTTTGAGTACTACGGAGTCTTTTCCCCCCATGGCCCTTCCATTTCTGCTTATATAACTCTTGCCACTTGATTTTTATCCTGAACATCGTCTAACTGTTGTTGAAAGAAAGCTCACTGGAATACGTTTGAACTCCTCTCTTTGTATTGAGGGACTTTGAAGGAGTGTGCCATTTCTCTTTCTGTTCTGTGCTGGACTTGATCTCTGCTCCCTCAGAAGGACATGGGAGGGAGCCCTTCTCTGGTTCAAGATGGATTTGGGATAAAGTTAAAGTGACCTGTCTCTGGGGGAAAAATCAGGTGAAAAAATGATTGTGGCTTCTTTGCTAACTGGGGTTCGAAGAGTGACTGAATGTGAACAAACGGCTTGAATGAATGGGGTGACTTAGAATTACTGCCTTTCCTTGAGAAGGAACTGTGAATTCCCAGGAGCAGAAACAATGGTATTTGCATTTAATTAAAAATTCTGGCCTGATCTCTTCTCGAGATGGGCTTCTTCCCATGTTGTGGCATATTGTCCCTTGGAAAGCGCTTTAAAAACCTTTCAATGTTTGTTGCAGATGGAGCAGGAAATGACGCGCTTGCACCGCAGAGTATCAGAGGTGGAGGCTGTACTTAGCCAAAAGGAGGTGGAATTGAAAGCCTCCGAGACGCAGCGATCCCTCCTTGAGCAGGACCTGGCTACCTACATCACAGAATGCAGTGTGAGCCTCTCCCTGTTCCCCTGCAGCTACCCGCCCGCTCCCAGTTTGTCGACCCAAGCTTTTCTGTTTTGTGGCTTTATCAGTAGGGCCTACAGCCAAGGGACCATTAAAAGGGTAGCATTCTGATTAAATAGGGATGGTTAATTTGCCGAGCGCTATAAGTCTGTTACATGGTTTTAATTTATTAATTAGCTAAAGAGTTGACGGCGTGACAGAGCAGGCAAAGGAAGTTCAAAATCAAGTCTTTCAGGCAGAAAATGACAGTTGTATATTATGCTTGCCGTAGTTAATTTCTTCAGGCTCCTTTCTTGATGAAATCCCAAGCAAGGTAGCTACTTCTCAGGGCTTTGTGCAGGACCTTCCCATGCTGATCCTGTACCTTGTGTAGCATTAACAAGTATGAAATGGCTTTGTACTTCAACAGCTGGTTTCCCAGACCCTTTGCGTTAGACTTTCTCCATGACTTCCTAAGGACTCAAATCTTCATCTAAATGGAAGATAGCAGAAGCTGACCTGGAATCTTCCTTTTCTTAATCCATGTGGTCTGCTACTTTGCTAAGGTTCACTTTCGTTCTATGTATTGGTAGGGCTAGTGCTTTTTCAATTTAAGCAGATTTTCAGGTTGCGCTCCTCAAGTAATTTTTGAGTCATAGTATATTTAAATGAAATACAAGTGTGTGCTAGAAGCTGTTGTTTGCTGTTGGAGTAAAAGACAGAAGTTGAACGGAGGCTTATTTAGGAGCTTTGGCTTTCCTGTTTTTTATGGTCTTTGCCTCATGAGGATTTCCTTAATACAGCTGCATGCAAATTGGTCTGTGCATTAAACGTTACACTTTTGCAGAGCTTAAAGCGAAGTCTGGAACAGGCCCGGATGGAAGTATCTCAAGAGGATGATAAGGCACTGCAACTCCTTCATGATATCAGAGAACAGAGCCGGAAGCTTCAGGAAATCAAAGAACAGGTATGTCTGACTGTTGCTTCGAGGTATAGAACAGGGGATAATAGACAGGTTGTTAGCTCATGACAGTCAGTTCTCACACTAGGAAAAGCTACAAAGGTGCTCTTTGAATATAACAACTGTTTGTGACCCTCTGGGATGTTCTTCCTTCACACCTTTTTTGAGATGGTAGGGGACACAGAATAATCTGTCAATATTTCATAGTTTGTATGTATGCTTCTCTCCCATTGTTTTTATTTTCACGATTGGCTTGTTGCCATTTTTGTGTTTTCTGAAGTGTGCAGTACCTCTCTTTTCTCCCACCAGGAGTATCAAGCCCAAGTAGAAGAGATGAGGTTGATGATGAACCAATTAGAAGAGGACCTTATTTCAGCTCGCAGACGTAGTGATCTTTATGAGTCTGAATTGAGAGAGTCCCGACTGGCTGCTGAAGAGTTCAAACGTAAAGCCACAGAATGTCACAACAGGCTCCAGAAGGTAGTTAAGGTCAGGTTTATAGAATTTTCTGTATTAGAATCCATCTTCGCAATCAGACATCCCACGCTTTGCAAACAATGTGTAGAAAATTAGATTAGAAATTTTTTGCATGAGCTTTGATTGCAGAAAACATCGCTGTAACATACCTGGAGTTTGCTTTTTGGTATTGAAAGGAATAATAATTAGGAGGAAGTGGAAAATAATCTCTGTGTTGGTGTTGCTTAAAAAAAGCTGAACTGAAAGTTATTAGATTCTGCCCTAGAAAATAATACTTTGCTTTTCGCTTTATTATCACCTACGTTTCCTAGGCTGAATTTTAGGAGACCATGAGAGAAAATGTAGTGTAAATGAATCAAAACCATCTATACTACATATTCTTGTACCCTCTGGAGGAAATAACTCCATTCTCACCACTCTTGTCATTTTCACCTCTTCCTTTCCAATAAACCACTAAATAATAGAGTTTCTGACTGAACATGCAACTGTAGTTTGGAACTAGCAGTTTCATCTTGACCGTTTTAATTTAGTGTGAATATCAGTAATTTTAAAAAGTCATCCACTGAAAACTGTGTTTTAAAATGTTCATTATTTTTTAAAAAAGAGAATTTTGCAACTGCCTGTTTAGATCCTGATACTGAGTTGTAAATTTGTTTTATCTTTACATTAAAGGTTAAAGATCAAGGGAAAACAGAAGTAGGAGAGCTGTATTCCAAGCTGGAGAAGGTATGGTTTCTAAATGCCATTCTTTTTCTTTCTTATTTCACTACTAGTAAAGTAAAATGGTATTTTAGAAATCTCTTTGTTCTGTGATGTTATTAAAATAGAACTTGGTTAGCTGGTCCCCATGGGACCTGGAACACGTGAGATTAAAGCATCAATATAAAACATACTCTGTTGTAAAGCCTTTGTAATGAAAATTCTGCTGAGCTGATGAAATTTTGTGGCATTGTTAAGAAATGTTGTCTTCTGGGATATGGCTGCCAGCCTTGAGCTATTTGTGAGATTTCATATATTGTAATTTGAAGTACATATTCAGATGATGATGAAAGAATTTTTACACTTGCTCTAGAACAAGAACTGTGTGGTTAAGGCAGAGACACAGACTGGAAAGGTCACTGGGAGAAAGAAATCTAAGATATAGATGGTCAGACAGTAGAGAATCCATATTGGGTGCGTGGCTGAAGGGAGGTGTTCGTCTGAGAAGAGGCAAACTAAGGGGAAAAGGCAAATGTGTAAAGCAGAAATATTAAGGGAAAAGGAAACAGGAAATGGAAAGTTGGGGAAATGAGGCATCAGTGAAAGGAAAGGTATAAGAAAAGACCTACAAGATGTGAAGCTGATAAAATAAAAATGGGATTTTTGGTTTGGTTCTATGATTCATCTTTAAAACAGAGCCTGGTTTTACAGGTGCCTTATGACATCTAGAGACATGTGGAGATGTGAGGCAGACAAGTGGGTGCAGTGACTAAACCTGTGAGGAGGCATCGGATGGTTAAAAGGGGCGGGGGAGACACTTGTTTGAGAACCAGATGCTTAAGGAAACCGTGTGAGGTAGGGGCATGGGAGATGATAAGGAAGTGGTCACAGAGAGACTCAGATTGTGGACGGAACGCCAGGACAGAACAGGAAGAGGGTGGAGTGAGGTGGGGCGTAAAGAACTGCCACCTGCAGCACCCCATCTACAAAGTCTCCTCTGTTTTTCAAGATTCTGTTGCAGCAGTATAATTGAAGAGGAGTGCTCATTTCTTTGTTATCCCTATTAAGTGTGAAGGGCCTCTTGGCACTTCTGAAGCCTTAGGCTCAGGCATCCCGGTCATGTTCCCTGAGGGAAATGTGAGTGAATTGAAATGCAAGCTTCAGGGCTGCAAGTCAAGCTGCTTTTACATAGTGAAAGGAAGCAACTGAACATTCAGCGTGCCAGGATGAGCTTCGCTTGGCAGATTTTAATGTGTGTGGCTGACCTTGAAGGCACAGCAGTAAGCCCAGTTTAAAAAGTGTCAGACTCTCTGCTGGGTGTGGGATGTGCATGGGAGCATGGGCTTGGAAATCTAGCATTAGTTATATTTGAAACTGCCCAACCAATGTGGAGAATTAGTTCACACAGATGGCTTTTCACTCAGCTTTCTATAGCCACCCATTTTGTTGTTGGTTAAGGCAATAGTTTTCAATACATTTGTTTTGCACTTCAGCTGCCATTGAGTCTCTGACCTTGCTACATACAGCTTTTCACTCAGCTTTCTATAGCCACCCAGTTTGGTGTTGGTTAAGGCAATAGTACTCAATACATTTGTTTTGCACTTCAGCTGTCATTGAGTCTCTGACCTTGCTACATAGAGTATGTGTCTGGGAGCAGAGGTTCAAAATATACTATCTGTTAAATTTCCAGTTGTGCTGGTTTTAACACAGTGTTGCCCACTAGATGTTGCTGGACTGCATCTCTTTTGAGTCCTTGCCACCAGTTTTGTTGGCTCTCCTTGATGGGAGTTGCAGTCAACAACATCTACAGTGGTGCCTCGCTAGACATGACAGTTTTTTCGCTAGACATTGACTTTTTGCGATTGCTATAGCGATTCGCAAAACAGTAATTCCTATGGGGGAATTTCGCTGGACAATGTTTGGTCCCTGCTTTGCAAACCGATTTTTGCTAGACAACAATTTTGACAGCTCCCTCTGTGCTCGCAAAACGGGTGTTTTCGGGACCTAAGCTTCGCAAGACAGCTATTTAAACAGCTGATCGGCCGGGGATTCGCAAAGCGGCTTTCCTATGGCCGATCTTCACTAGACAACGACGATTCTTCCCCATTGGAATGCATTAAACAGGTTTCAATGCTTTCCAATGGGGAAATGCTTTTTGCTAGACAATGATTTCGCTAAACAGCAATTTCAGTGGAACGGATTATCATCGTCTAGCGAGGCACGACCGTACATCTTCTTTTTTCCTCTATGTGAAAGCCACCAAGGCTCATTTGTGGATGATAAATGTATTCATTTCTAGCAGTACAAAAGGATAATTAAGAAAAGAGTAAGAAATAGTGGTTTTTGTTTCTTTGGGCCTGGCAGAGAACAGTGGGTAGGGTATGTTTTTAATGGGAAAAGAGTCCACAGAGAGATTCATTAAATTCTACTTTATATGTTCAGTGAAATGGTTTAGGAACTGTAGGGCCTGTTTCTTGCTGACTGTATATTTCCCATCTTTGCCTGCCTGGGAAGCCTGTTTGGCTAGAGATCCAATTAGATGGAAACTGTTCAAGCATGCCCATCTCTTTTCATGCCAACTCCACAGCTGCTGATGGTGACATCATTTTCAGAGGGGATGGCCAAGGCTGTGTTCACATTACTCTGTCATCCATTCATTTGAATGAACAAAGGTATTTGTAGTGCCCAAAGTGCAAGGTTGTGATGAAGCTCATCTTCCCTGATGTCACAACAGGGTCGAAAAGACTCAACATCCTCTGCCTTCTTGCCTGCCTCTGCAGATCCTATACAAGAGAGAAAGGGAGCCCCTGAATCTCCAGATGTTGTAGCCCACCTCCCATAATCCCTGAACTTTGGTCAGGCTGGTTGGGGTTGACGGGAGCTGGGTCTCAACCAGAGCTTGGCAGTAATACATTCATAGACCACAGCAGCTGATTAGTTAGAGAATTCTGGGAATTGTAGTCCAAAAAATTATAATATTTCAAAATTCTGGATGGAACATCCTGCTATAGAATGTCAAGGCAGGCAAAAAGGGCGCTAAGCGAGGCACCACTGTATTTCAAAATTCTGGATGGAACATCTTGCTATAGAATGTCGAGGCAGGCAAAAAGGGGAATAGTAAGGAATGGAGGAATAGAAGAAGCTAGATCCAGAGACGTTGAGGTAGGGCTTCAGGAATTACGTTAGAAAAATCAGTGCCCTAAAAGAAGGATTGTATGGGCAGAGAAGAGAGCGCATGGCTAAGGGTTGCAAAGTGTGGAATTAAAAAATAATGCCCTCAAAAGGGATGTTGTTCATTGGCAGATTACATGCCTTGCATGAGGCTGTAAATTCATTCTGTCACACTTGTGTAAAAGGCTGCAGAAGACCTTTCCCTGAAACCCTGGTGATACCAGCCCTTGTTTATAATAATGAGGGAGGTGGACCAAGGCTTTATTAAAGCAGCTTCCCACATATACTATTTGCATGCATCCTTTCCCCGTTTTCTAGGCCTCTCTTGTTGCTGTTATGTCCCATCAAGTTGCATCTGACTTACAGTGATACTGACAGGGTTTTCAAGGTATGCAAGATATTCAGTCTTCCCTCTAAGGTGCGCACATAGCGCTCCACTGGGACTGCTGACGGACAGCTGGCAGCCGGTTTGTTGGCTTTCCGTTTTGGATTAAGCCCTGCCCCTCCGCGTATGCATGGGGCAAGTCTCTTGTGCAGCAGGAATGAAAATTAGAACATTGGAGATACCCAAAGAGTGGTTTACCAGTACCACCCCCTAGTGAGTTTCCATGACTGAGCAGGAGTTTGAACCTAGGTCTCTTAAGTCTCAGGCTGCTGCTTTAGCCACTAGGCCACACTGTCTCTCTCTGGGTGTCTCTAGGCTTATAGTAATAGGATGTTTCTCTTCGAAGATGGTTTCTTAGCAGAATGGGCAGGAAGTAAATCTTAATATTCCAGTTTTTGCCTTCAAGTTCCCTTTAAAAGCTTTAGACCTTCCCTGCCTTTTTTTGGTTTAAGCATATGGGAAGCGGTCTTTTTCTGAATCAGACTACCACCTCTCAAGCTCAGCCTGGTTGGCAGTGACTGGCCGAGTTCTCTGAGGTTTCAGATGGGAGTTGTTACAAACCCTGTCCAGAGAGGCCAAGGATTAAATTTGGGATCTAGTGTATGCAAGACATTGATTCTGCCACTGAGCCAGGAAAATGGCTTTGCCTTGAAGATAGAAACCTAGTGCGTTCCCTGCAACATAAAGTGGCCTGCTCTGAGTCAGATCGGGTCTCCTTTTCTTCTCTGTATTCTCTTAAACAATCAGAGGAAAACACTGCTGTAAAGATGTTGGTGCCAACAGTGGAAGGCTGCATATTTATTGCACTGAAATGGAAATAAAAGGAAAATGGAAATTGGGAAATGAGGTTAAACATGGCCTTAAAGCTTTCTTGTGATTCTAGTTGTTTTAAAACTCATTTTATTCCATTTAAATCCCTTTTTAGATCAACGCAGAACAACAGGTCAAAATACAGGAGCTGCAGGAGAAGCTGACAAAGGTAAAGGTTGACATTGGCTGTATTGAAGCATCAGTTGCTTCCTTTTTAAGTTTAACATCAGGGTTGAGAGTCCTTTATATGGCTACGCAGTTTATAAATCTCTTCTTTAGACTTTCCTACAAGTTGTAATGCAGGGGAGGGAGGAACAAGTCCCTTGTGTTCCAAAACATGATTAGTCATTGTACTGTGGATAGGAGAAGGGTGGCAGAGGGGAGGGGGATTGGAATCAGAAATCGTGATGATCTCAGTGCTTTCTCCTCTTCACAACATGTCATCTCATGTTTATTTTTAAATAAGATGCTGAGCCAGAAATGGAATATTGGGTAGGAATTTAACTTTAGAAGGCCAATTTGGGCATGCTGCACCAGGTGTGAGCTTGCTTCAGCACGGAGGTCCGCATTGCAAAAAGAGAATGAATCCTTAGCAACAGATTGCGACGGCTTAATTGCGATCTAATTTTCATGAATGAGGGTGGGGGTGCTAAACTGTAACTTGCAGACCATGTTGCATTTATTCCATATGTGTATAATGCATGAGTGACACCTGCCGCTTGGAAGCATTACAATTTTGGACTGCAGCTCCTAGAATTACACAACCGGCAATGTTACTGGCCACCCTGAGAATCTTTTAGATCATTTTAAAACCATCTTAAGATGAGCTTAGGAAAAAAAAGAGCTATTCAATCTGAATGTCATGACCAGTTTGTGTGCATTACACAGGTTTTTGGGACTTGGGCCAATTAGTCTCTTCCTGTTTAGTCAAGAAGCTTAGTGAGTGGCTCAAAAGAAATCGGTAATCTCTCACAAGGTTTTAAGATTCAGGTGAAATAAGTCCATCTATGGTTCTCATACCTTCATAGAAGGAGAACTTACAAGTTCTCTTGTAAGTTAGAAAATCAAGGACCAGGAATTAGAAATTCTCAGCATCCTTACAGTTTTTGGTATGAATTCCTATGGAACATAAAGTTCCCCTTTGATAACTTGGTAGTATATCATTTGCCTACATCTTAGTAGAGCAAAGTAACTCAAGGAAAATTTGCAGGGATGCACTGGTTAAAAAAAAAATAGAGCTATATGCCTGTAATACATATTTGCTTCCTGTTCTGCAAAGCGATGTTCCCACTTGTATTAGTTCTGATATGATGACTCTTCATTTGTCCTTTGTTTGCTGTGCGCATGATGACTGCTGTATTAGTAAGGCTTTCTGGTAGAATGAAAGAATGTGAGTCCATTAATTTCGGAGGAGGAGGAACAGCATACTACATGTTAATATGTCATATGACGTAATGGTCAGTGCTCTTTTGCAGAGCTCCGTTGGTGCAGCTGGATTGATGTTACCATCAGGAGAGGGTGGCCACTGGTTTTAGGGTTTATTTTTTGAATCGGGGCGGTACACAACTTCATCTGATTGCATAAAGTTAAGAGCAACCTTAAACTAAAAGAGGAACTCTTTGCTGCTGCTGCTGGTGATTTCATTCCTGCTATTCCAATGGAATTTGACCCAACTCCGGGAGGGAGTGGAAGACAGGAGGGCCTGGCGTGCTCTGGTCCATGGGGTCATGAAGAGTCAGACATGACTTAACGACTAAATAACAAAACAACAGCAATTCCAGTGGAGCTCCATGAGAGCACGCTGGCTGCTATGTTGTATAAAATAACAGAGCAGATGTGACAGAACATGCTTCTGTAGCAATGCTGGCTGACTGCTGAAAAGTTTATGTCATTTCGGTCTATGTTGGGCATTTCTTTCTTCCTGTGGAAAATTAGTATCAATTATCCACATGGTTGGGCTTGAACGCATTTCCTGGCAATCTTTCAGTGAGCCAAGGATGTTTTATCATGCTTTGCTCAAGATACAATCTGTTTTCACTAGGCTGCATTCCAAAATCAATCGTTCCACCAAGTTGCAAGGAAACAGACCACTCAGTTTTGTTTCACCTTCTCACCCACCATTCCCTCATTGCTCAAAGCGGCCACTCGTGCCTCTGTCCCAGGGCAGACTGAAGCAGTCCAGTTGCCACATACTGTAGACAGACAAACACCACTGACTAGGACAGGCCCATGACATTTGGGTGCTAATGCTGCAGGAAAACAGAAGATCTTATCATGTGCTCTGCAATTAAGTTAATATTCTCAATAAGGTTTTTTTTAAATAAAGCTGGAAAACAAGAGTGGGTGACATCTTTGCTAGTCTACTAAAATTTCACAGACAGAAGCCAGCTTTTGAGAACTGCAAGACCTTCATTGGGGTGGGCATTACAGAGCTAGGGGTAGTGCAAAAGAAAAAAAACATTCCAGTTCCCCCCGCCCCCCATGACCAAATGTGCATGTCACTCTCCTTTATTTCAAGTAAGATGCAAAATCGGGACATTGGGGTGAGCCTAAACCTGGCAGATTTAAGTTTTCACCTCTGGTGACGAGAGAGAAATCTGCCCCCACGTCTTGCCATGTACCACACCCAACATCCGGTCTGATGAAAGGTTGTTCAGGACTCAGAAGCTGATTTCTGCACATGAGGTTTTAGGGATGTAATAAATATATCAATCCCCCTTGTTTTCAGGTTATATACAAGGACACATGACTCCCCAGAGCAGTCATATTGATTTGTACATTTGTAGAGTCTCACACCGTTTAACATGAATTTATTTTGTATATAGTTGTGGGAGTTAATATAAGTGATGTTGTAGCATAAGGTTCAGAGTATGAGAATAATTCAAGGAACAGGACAATGGATGTTGATGTTCCCACAGCAACATGCCAGATTAAACTTAATGAAATGCAGAAACTTTTGTACCTCTAGAAGATGACAAGCACTTATGCTTAGTATTACTCTTCCCATTCTTTCAGGCTATGAAAGCCAGCTCCGAGGCCACTGAACTTCTCCAGAACATACGTCAAGCAAAAGAGAGAGCAGAGAAGGAGCTGGAGAAATTGCAGAACCGGGAAGATTCAAATGAAAGCATGAAAAAGAAATTGCTTGAAGCAGAGGTTAGGAAAATCTTAACTTCTAAGATGATTGTATAATTGGAAGTCCAGCCATTAAAAAATAAGTTTCTTTTGTCTGATAAGATTAGCTTGTTATCCAGTTGTGGATTTCTGAACCACAGTTTTTGGTAGCTGGATAAAATGTAAAACTAAGGTGTGAATCTAGCCAGCACTGAAAGCTTTAGAAGTCTTCCTCTTTGCATACGAAAGTGTGGGAGAAAGGACACATAAGCCTGAGGATTAAAGTGATTTGTGGCTGTATCAGTAAATCATGGTTTATTGTTACATTTGTACTGGACTGAAATGTGTCAGTTTCTTCTTAAACAATCAACTTGTTTGTTATTTATTTCCTACCTGTGTATAACCTCCAAGGGGAAAAATTATTTGCTTTATCTCTTTGCTTGGATTTATCTGGGCAAAGGGTGCCGAAACGATTGTCGGGAAGTTGTTCCTTCCTGTGTGAATATCAGAGTTCTTTATCCTCAATTCTACTTTCCTGAATGTTGGGCAGGAAAGGCGCCATTCTTTGGAGAACCAAGTGAAGCGTCTGGAGACGGTGGAACGCAGGGAAAACCGGCTGAAAGAAGATATCCAAACTAAATCCCAACAGATCCAGCAGATGGCAGATAAAATTCTGGTGGGTTGTCATTAAAAAAACGATAGACTTTTGTGTGGAGGAGTAAGAGCAGGCGTTGACTCCAAATGACAGGGTGGGAAGTGTTAAATGCAGAAAATGTTTTGTGGTGAAGTTTTGTTTTTTTTTAGGAAGGATTGGTGGGTAATACATACCTACTGTTAGTGACAGGTAAAGTCTATGAGAGGATATTCATGCAAATACCTGAGCTGTTAGGTGTTGTGGCTGAAAATATAGTGCTCCTAGTCCTTGTCTGAAGATGTAGGAGGAATTATTTTCTGCCATCGAGGAGAAGAGAGTTCTCCCTCCCTCTTCCTGGTGGTGTCTGGCAGCAAATCAATTTTGCATGCAAAGCTATATAAATAGCAATATTCTGGCCTTGATATAACTTGAATTTGCTGCTCTTGCCAAGGAGCGACTAGAGGCTGTCTTTCCCCAGGAGCTGACACATGGTTAGATCTGTATTATTAGTATCATGCAGACTTCAGATTAACTTAAGCATGCCTAGTCTAATGAAGACTCGGGCGGAGTCAAAGGCAAGGAAAGCCGGTCTAAGAAAATATATTGCTTACCCTTGTTCCAGGATTTTATGGGGATCTTGATGGTCATCCCAATTTCTTGTAGAAACAGGGTCCCTAGTTTGGCTTAGTGGTGCATGAAAAAATACTTCATTTTGTCTATTCTCAGTCTCCCACTATTTAGCATTGTTGGAAAAAGTCTTTCAGGGCTGTTACCCTTCCTTGCAAGGAAGTTGTTCCATCTTATTTTTCTGGTTAATCTTTTCTGCACCTTTTCTACAATATCTTCTCTTTGGAAGGCACTAATCTGAGCAAGGCTGTGTAGCCTGTGATCAGGAGTGCATTTGCATAATTAAAACTAGTGCACCAGCTATGTCCATCTCTTGAGAGATCTCATCTGGCCACTGTCATACACATCCTAATTAATTTGTGAATGGATTACTGTGACACATTCTAAATGGGGCTGCCAATGGAAAGTGTCAGGAAAGTTCAGTAGGTCCAAAATGCAGGAGCCAAATTGCTGACTGGGGCTGGTTACAGGGATCACATAAGCCCCACACCCGGTTACAGCAGCAGCTCTGCTATCTGCCAGTCAGTTTCTGTGCACAATTCAAAGTGCTGTTTTTAACCTATAAAGCCCTAAATGGACTGAGTCTAAGCTATCTCAAAGACCGTATCTCCTATTATGCCTTGGGTGTTAAGCTCATCAGGAGAGGCCTTTTTTTCAGTCCTGCCATATTCACAGGTACAGTGGTGTGCCCCACATGACGACGATAATTCGTTCCGTGAAAATCACTGTTTAGCGAAATTATCGTGTAGCGAAAACCGTTTCCCCATTGGAATGCATTGAAACCCGTTTAATGAGTTCCAGTGGGGAAAATCGTTGTCGTTTTGCGAAGATTGCCCATAGGGCAGCCATTTTGCGAAGCGCTGATCAGCTGTAAAAATGGCTGTCCTGCGAAACATGGGTCCCGAAAACATAGGGAAGCCATTTTGCAAAGCCACCGATCAGCTGTAAAAATCGTCGTCTTGCAAAAGAAAACGGTCCGCGAAGCACGGACCAAATCATTGTCAAGCGAAAATCGCCCATTGGAATCACTGTTTTGCGAATCGCTATAGTGATCGCAAAACCTCATCATCATGCGGATTCGTCGTTTTGTGCGGTTGTCATTTAGCGAGGTACCACTGTATTGTTTCATGGCAACACGATACAGGCCCATCCCTGTTGCTCTCCCAGACTCTGGAACTCCCTCCCACAGGAGGCCAGTCTGGCCCCATCTTTACTGTCCCTCCACAAGCCAGCAAAGACTTTTCTCTTCAGGCAAGCTTCCTCTCAGTAACTAGCTACCTGTGTGTGATTTTTAGAGGGGTTGTTATTATATTTCCCATTTTTGGGTGTTATATTTCTCGGAGTGACTTTTTTTCTTTTTTAATATTTGTATACATATTTGTTCCTAGTTTTAATACTGCCTTTTAATGGTGGAAGGTGCCTCTTAATACTCATTGTTCTTAGCTTTAAACATTTTCTTTTAATTATGTTAACCATCACTGTCTACTCATTGTTTTTATCTTTAAATATTGTCTTTCAGTGTAAGCCACCTTGAGTCCTTTTGGGGAGAAAGGAGGAGCAAAAATATTTTAAATAAATAAATAAACAAACTGGAAGCTATTAGAAATAAAATAGATTACAATAAAACCTCTTCCCCCTTTTAATCTGCTGGTGGCACTGTCAAATCCCCACTAAAAGCTGGATTTGATAGGAAAGCTTTCTTCTACATCTAAGGTGCTCCGTCAGGCTACCACTTGCCATCTAAGAGAGATAAAAATCCAAGTCACTGCAGCAGAATCTTTGGAAATCAAACAAAGCATGTTTTGTAAGTTCTCTTCGACTCTTGTGCTGAGTTCTGTGACAATAAAGGCATTTTGTGTTTCAGAGACTTAAATTAATATGTACCTCTGCCTTCCCAAGATTCCAACTCGTGATTGTATGTAGCCAGTTTGAAGCTGGTGTACCAGCTTGAGTTTCTGCAGTAAAATGAAATGTTTGAACGTCTCAATATCCAGAATATCATTATTTGAAAAAGTAACTCCTGTTAAGTAAACTTTACATATTAAAAGAAAGGAAAAATAGTGCATGGACCATTTTGTGATTCCAACAGATGTCTGAACTGACGGTGAGATTAAACTTTTTTGGGTGAGTCAATATTTACTGCTTATATCAGTAGGTTGCAGTTAGAGGCTATTTCTTGACCTCTGTGGTTCAGTGATATTCCAGTTTGAGCAGCTGAGAGCAGATTCAGCTAAGTCTGAGGCAGATTAAGGATAAAGGCACATCTCTGGCCTCACTTTTACAAAGCTTTGAAAAAAAGTTGGAGCCAGGAGTTGAGGGGGCAAGAATCCCTGGGGAAATCAGCCAGCCAGTTTCCTAGAATTTGTATACTGAATTACAAAACCTCTTATGACCTGACGTGTGGAGTGTTCAAAGCTGATGCATACAGTAAAATACAAATAATAATACATGCATGATTTCCATGCTTTTGCCAACAAAAGGAAAGCTTTTTATGCAGAAAATCTAACATTTGAAGTGGTCCTCAAAGAATGAGGTAGGGTTGGTATTGGAAACGGCACAAAGACACATTATAGGCCCATTTTGTGTAATGAACCTCTGAATCATGCTGGGTGGAACAGCCTCAGCACTAGCTCCATAGCAAGAGGGAATTATCATCATAATGTTTAGTTGATGCTAAAAGCATCTTTGTAGTCTGATACAGGAGATGGATCATAGCAATTGCTGATGACAAAAACCAAACAAGGAGTCACATAAGGCCCTGTTACAGCACTCTGCTGGTTGACACTCTGTTGCTGGTCAGTATTTTAACCCATAAAGCCCTAAATGTCTTGTGTCCAAGAAATCACAAAAACTGTATCTCCCTTTATGAGCATTCACAGGTTTTACTATCATTAGGGGAGGCTTTTCTGTTGGTCTCACCATCTTAGCAGGTGCGTCTGGTTGGGACACAGGAGAGGACCCTCACTGTCAATGCACCCAGACTCTGGAACTCCCTCCCACTGGAGGCCAGCCTGGCCTAATATTTGCTGCCCTTCCACAATCAGGCAAAGGCCTTTCTCTTCGGTCAGTTTTTTTCTTAGTGACTAGTATTTTTTTTTAAATGGGAATGCTGTGTTTTTATTGGTTTTTTTATTACATGTGTTTTACTACTGTTTTTATCTGCTAGAGTTCAGTTTTTTGAATTATTTTTAGATTTTTAAAATATGGTAATACTAATCATAATATAATAATAGCTTCTAATTTCGTTTCTTTTAATACTGTAAGCCACCTTGGATCCTTTTTAGGAGACAGGTGGCATATAAATTTTGTTGTTGTTTAGTCGTTTAGTCGTGTCCGACTCTTTGTGACCCCATGGACCAGAGCACTCCAGGCCCTCCTGTCTTCCACTGCCTCCCGGAGTTTGGTCAAATTCTTGTTAGCATATAAATACTTATTCAAAAAAATCAAGCTAAAATATATATTATAAATGGTTACATTTACTGGAACAAAGTGCAGATTTGGAGAGCTGCCCAAACTGGAAAATTCTGTGAGACTGCTACCTGCTTTAAAAGATTAAAAATGGAGACAAGGTCTTGTCTCAAGGCTTGAGTGTGTCACACATTTTTCAGCATTGCTGGATGAGAAAAAAAAACATAGCAGAGCCTGGAACAGTCTTGTAATGTCCAGAATCCACTGCCTGATTAGCTGGTTGACCATGCTAGTTATAGTCTTTAAAAGTTACTTTTCCCGCCTCCAAAGAAATAACCGGAATATCTCCATTGCCTTTATATCAAGGCATCAGGTTACCTTTTTAAAAGTAAGTTCCAAAGTGGGAATGGTAGAATGTATCTTATTTAAACAGTGAATCAACACTCCTGGGATCTTCACCCAAACCTTTTCTTTTGGCTGGTGGGGAGTTCGAAAGGAGGGCTGGGGGAGCCGCGGGATATCCATCCCTAATTTACAGCGTAGGCTAGGAACTCTGGAGACATCCGTGTGAGTTGGAGCTGCTCGGAGGAGACGGGGCAAGGCCGAGAGTTGTCCTGTTTCCCCACCCTTCTGTTTCGTGGTCTCTCTCCTGTGCAGTCTAGAAATTGATCATCTTACAAAATGCTACTTAGCCCTCTGTTCTAATCTAATGCTGAGCCACCTTAATGGTTCTTGACGTAACTGAATTGAGCAAAGATCAATAAAGCTCATTATTCTGTTTCTGGAGTGGAAAGGAAAAGTCGCACAGTAGTGTATAGTCTATTCTATATAAATGACTACATTGTAACTGATGTTGTATATTGTAAAAATAATTCATTCATGTAAAATATTTCTGTGCCAGCTAAGGTAAAAAGGTGAAACAATACGATATAGTTAATTAAAACAGCATGAAACATTGAAGCCTAAATGTAGGAATCACAGAAAAAAAAAGATGTATATTCAACTAAAAAACAGTCTAGAACAACAGATCTTTAAGAGCATGACTTCTTCCGGGTTCCACATGGGAGAAGTCATGTGCAACCTGGAATGGCATTCTGTATGCGTGGAACTGCTTACCAAATGGATCTCAGTAGGAGGCATCTTCTCCAGTGTAAGCTGTACATTTCTGTCCCAAAACTAGGCCAGAATTGCAGCTGATTAAAGTACGGTAGTAAATACCATTAAGACCATTTGGAATGGAGATTTCCTTCCTCCAGATTGGTTCATTGGACAGTGGACTGTAATTATCAAGAGCCACAGAATCATCATCATCATCTTCTTATTGTTATTATTGTTATTATTATTATTATGGCTTTTAGTAAGGATTTTACTGCTGTAAGTGCATTCGTTAAGAGAGGTGTTAAGGAACTCTCAGGACCGTAAAGCCCAGTTCTTGCTCATTTTTAACACCCCAGGATCAGCATGTATCCAATGACCAGTTGGTGGGTCTCAAAATTCCTGAACAACCTGTCCATATCATCAGGATACACAGCTTAAACCTATCCAAAAACACATGAAGATAGAATCCTGGCTGTATTTATTCTTTCTCTAACTATTGAAGTTGCAATATCAAAGTAAGAATGAATGTGAGCAACTTTGTCTCCAAGATGTGATGTAAATTGATCACAAAGTTTCCATCTGATCTTGCAAACTGTTTTGCTAGCCAAGATGCAGATGTACAGTAGATGTTGATAGAAAGGTAAGATTTCTTAACTGCTGTTATGGTAATAAAATGTATGCTAATGTGTTTCCCACTTGCATTTCACTGTGGTTTTTACACATTTTTGGTGCCTGAATTTTCATTGTTGAATCTGATCAACAGGTTAAACTTGACCAGATGGTCAATTGGTGATAATATAGCTGTCTCTAGCTGTCCCACCCTAGGATCATTATCCTGCCAACCAGTACAGAAAACCAAATCCATCGTATGTCCTACCACATGCACTTTCCTAGGTCTGAGTAGAAACAGACCTGTGATTGCCATAACAGCCACAAAGTTCCACACCACTCCAGTCAAGGCAATACCGGGACATAGGCTGAAGTTGTCCAAGGCTGCATGTTTTGGAGTCTTCAACACCAACGCCGGCACCACTGCTATTAACTGATCTTGGGAGCCTTGGCAATAGGTAGATGGAAGGCCCCAGGACGAATCGATGGCAGGCATTGTTTAAAATGCTCTTTTTAAAAATTCTGCCTGACACACCCTTGAGAATTAGTGCTGATCAGAATCAACAATGTTGAGCCACACGGAGCAGGTAGCTCCCCAAGTTCTTACATTACTAATAAGCAATACTACTTCCCTGTAAAAGGAAGATTCTGCTTGAACTAGAGCCTGCTTTGGAAAAATATAGGAGCTGGGTGACTGAAAGAGTTGCCAAGTATACATTTGTCTGAGCTTTTTGAAAGTGTAGGTGGATAGTGTCCGTGGCTATGGTAACAGAGACGGGGGCAATTGAGTAGGAGTTGCTGAAGAAGAATTCTTCAAGTGATTTATCTGTGCCCAGAGTTTATATTGACTTTAAACGTAGGGTTCCTTGGCATTGTGGGAGTATCCTATGTGCACATGTGTGTTCTATTGGACATACCTTAGTTTAAGACATAAGTCATATATTTTAACAACATTTTCAAGGGATGCTGTGTTTTGTCTACTGCTTTTATCAGACACACTGGTAGATGATGGATTTCTTCAGGAAACAGCTAGCCTCTTAGAGTGATCTGAAGCTTTTTTCTTACCATGAAATGGTCATCATACACAAACTGTATCTGTCTTGCCTTTCCAACCTTCCCAAGGGGCAGGGGAAGTAATTTGGTTGAAGCTAAAGCTCTCAAGTTGGAGTGGCAGCTCTGCATCCTCCCCCCCCCCCGTTTTCCAGATAATGGGTGAGGGCTAGGCTGGTCAATGAGAAGAAATAAAAACTGATGGAATCAAGTTTCCAACTATGGGATGGTGATGGCAGCAATGTGTGTTGCTGATGCAGCCCTTGGAAAGGGACATTTAACACACCTTTTTCTTATAGCAGAGTGACCCATAATCTGAAGTGCCTTTGCCTGCCATCTACCCCTTGACCCCTTGAAATTATTAAGCTGCTTAACCTGCAATGAGTCCTGGACCCTCTGTGCACGGCTGGAGAGGAGGCTGAACACATCCAATATGCGTTGGCATCACCTGGCAGGACAAAGTTCCAAATAGTGTAGTCCTGGAACAAGCTGGAATTGTTAGCATGTATACATTACTGAAACAGTGACGTCTACATGGCTTGGGCATGTCGTGAGAATGGCTGATGGTCGGATTTCAAAAGATCTCCTGTATGGAGAATTAGTGCAGGGAAATTTCCCCAGAAGGAGACCACAGCTACGATACAAGGAGATCTGCAAGCGGGATCTGAAGGCTTTAGGAATGGACCTCAACAGATGGGAACCCTTGACATCTGAACATTCAACCTGGAGGTAGGCGGTGCATCACAGCCTCTCCCAATTTGAAGAGACCCTTGTCCAGCAGGCTGAGGCAAAGAGGCAGTCCTGAAAGCAGCAAAATCAGGGAGCTGGATAGGGGACAGATTGTATTTGTCTTCAGCATGGAAGGGATGGTCACTCTCGGATTGGCCTTCTCAGCCACACTAGATGCTGTTCCAAGGCCTCCATACAGAGCATGTGGTCATCGTCTCTCGAGACTGAAGGATGCCTACATTACCTTGCAGAGAGTTTTGTGTATTTGTTGTTCCACTTGGACACTAGTTTAATAGAAAGAGGGTCTGAGCTTGTTCTATATGGGAATTCAGTTCTAACATGGTTCCATTCAGAACACATACTAATCACAAGCAGCTAGAGGTAAAGTGGAATAGTTCTGGTGATCTCCTAGCACCTTTGAAGTAAATGCTAGAGATGACATGGAAGTTCTTGTGTTGGTGCTGTATGGCAAGTCTGGTATAGCTATGGGGATGAAGTGGCACAAGATGAAGTTCTAAACTGGGAAGTTGAACCTGCCTGCCTGCCTACCTACCTAATTCTAGAATCAGACACCTTAAAAAATTTCAACTGTAGTAACTTCCTTCTTTGCTAGAAATGGTGCAGTAGACTTTTGAGAATGAGAGACATGCTTGAGTTCTAGGAAACAGAAGTCATGTGGCTTTTGTGTATAATCTAAAGATAAGCCTCTTTGTGTAAGATTTTAGTAGTCTAGTAAAGGTGTCGTCTACTCTTGTTTTTGAATTCTAGGAAAGTATCTCCAGGCATATAATCCTATTGGTACTCCCAACTAGAGTAGATCTGTTGAATCAATTGGATTTACATAAGTATTGACTTTCCAGTTTGACAGTTAATTCAGCAGTTGGGACTAGCAATTGGATTAAGGCTTTTGATTAAAACTGGTGCTGTGCTGTCTAAATCATATTTGCCACTATGTCCAGCCCTAGATGATTGCTCTCTTCTAAGAAAGAGCTACCTTTTAATCAGCTAAACATTTATATATTCCAAGTCTTCTTGCACTTCCTGGCAGTGAAATATATCTTGACAGTTTCTGCATCCATAGCAGTGTAGCCGCACTCCAGGTAACCAGCATTTTCTAGTCTCTCACCAGTGATTGTCCTCTTTGTCTTCATTATTGAAAAACACAAGGAGCAAAAAAAATCACAACACACATATATAATTTTTATGCAACTGTGTGATGTTTGTTTTCCTGTATTTTTTTGTGTTTCCATGATGGTGGTATCCTTTGTATTCAAGAAGGCTGTATGTTTCCTTCTCTGCAGTCTCACTGACGACCTCGAGGTTGTTTCCTGTGCTTTAAAGAAGCCATTCATTTTGAAGATTTTCTGATCAGTCAAGTTCATGTGTCTCTGCTGCTGAGTCCACTTTTGACTCAGTGTGATTGGAGAAGAAAGCAGGCAGCCTGGGAAGAGAGATGAAATCTTCTGCTCTCAGAATCTGTACCGTGCCCATTGTCAATACAGTCAGTGAACTTGCTATGAATACAATAAATAAATAAATAAATAAACTTGCTATGTCAGATCTCAGTTGACTTGGGACTTGAGCGATAACAATGAAATGCCCAATCTAGTGTACTTCCGAACTGGCAAGCCAAGTGCCATAGGCTGATAAAAGAAAATGAATATAGCAGCTTGTGTGTGTATGCTTCATGGGTGAGTGTGCGTTGTCTACCCCACATTTCCATTTATACATTTAAATCCTTCCTTCTAGGAACTGGAGGAGAAGCACCGAGAGGCACAACTTGCAGCCCAGCACCTCGAGTTGCATCTGAAACAGAAAGAGCAGATGTATGAAGAAAGGATCAAAGTAAATATACTTTTGTTATCCTTCAAACACAGCGTGAATTCTTTGGATGAAGGCTTAAGTACTTACAGCTCTTTTAATACTCTGTTTTCTTGACCTTAGTCCTCCATTACTGGAGTATTGCAGTATATGAGCCTGGCTTGTTGGCCTTTGCCCTCCTGTTGTTGCCTGTTGGTTAGGAATATAAGATGGCATGCACAGAGCCAAGTTCCAGAATATTCCCCAGCTAGGCTGTTTAGTAGTAACCACACACATGCCCATCCTTGTGCATATAAAGGTGCCTATTGGCCAGCAGCCCTCAGTTCCTTTTTCTCCATTTCAGAATGAAATCAGATCTTCTTCAGCTGGTACAAGTTCTTAACATTCTTATTTCTTCTAATTACTTACCTCTACCTTCTTTTATTTTTTTTGTCAACCCTGATTTGTTTTTCTTTCCAGTCCTGTCTTTAATTTATTTATTTTCTTTTGGTTCCTGTTTGTGTATGGGTTCCCCCCCCCCCATGACTGTGGGCCTGGCTCAGTTGTATGGCCAATAAGACGTTATCTAAAAAAATATATACAGTGGTGCTTCACTTAACAACGATAATCCGTTCCAGGAAAATCGCCGTTAAACGAAAACATCGTAAAACGAAATTAAAAACCCCATTGAAACGCATTGAAACCCGTTCAGTGCGTTCCAATGGGGTAAAAACTCGCCGTCCAGCGAAGATCCTCCATATGGCAGCCATTTTTGCTGCCTGTATAGTGAGGAATCCATCCCTAAACACAGCGGGGAGGAGCCATTTTAAGCACCCGGCGGCCATTTTGAAACCACCGATCAGCTGCAAAAAAAACCCCCGGGGAGGAGCCATTTTAAGCACCTGGCGGCCATTTTGAAACCACCAATCAGCTGTAAAAAACCCACATCGTTTTGCGAAGAATCAGTTCCCGAAGCAGGGAACTGATCATTGCAAAGCGAAAAACCCCTATTTAGACCATCGTTTTGTGATTTCAAAAAGATCGTCGTACAATGATTTCGTGAATGCAGGGCTATCGTTAAGCAAGGCACCACTGTATGTCCTGTGTTGGGAGCCAAGCCTCAATTGTTAAGCACTCTAAGTACCTCTTTTGCTCGAGAGAACCTCACTTTTCCCAATCAAATACCATTCTCTCATGGGGAACCTGCTTCCATGAATTGAAACCTTCCGTCACTGTGACTTCAGATGGATCTCAAGCTGGCTGGGATGCACAATGATGACATTTTGCCTTCCATCTTGAGAGTCCCCCAGAGACTATTGACTTCACGTCGGGGCAGTAAAACTCCTTGCTATCTTCAAGGTGCTTGGGAATTCCTCTAGTCGTTCTCCAGGGGAAGAACAGTCCAAGTAGTAACAGACAATATGATTGACATACATTGCATAAACGAGCAGGGCAGCGCTGTTCATCTGTTCTGTTTTGTCTCACACCATCCCTTTGTCGGTGCTGCCTTCGCAATACTATCCATCCTGTAGCTATTCACCTGGGTGGCGACTGAAGAACTGTATCTGATGCCCTGAGATGATCAGCCTGCATGACTCACAAGTGGGAACTCAACCAAGAGGCTTTTACTTACCTGACAAACACATGGGCTCCCCCAAAATAGATTTTTTGTGTGTCCAGAAGGCCAAATGCCCCCCTTTTGCCCCAGAGCAGGAGTAGGTAAGGGCCCTCAAGGAGATGATTCTGTGATTCCTTAGAACAAGAGCTTTCTGTACACGTTCCTGCTTTCCCCATTAATCCTCTGCACTGTGGCTCACCTTACCAGGTTCAAGACCGAGGCCAATCCTCATCGTAGGGTGGCTCAGCAACTTTGGTTTGTGACCCTTCTTTAGATTTATCCATCTTCTGAATAGAACAGACTTGTTGTCTCAGGCCTGTGGCTAGATCCTTCACCCGGACCTCCAGTCTCTTTGGTTGGCTGCCTGGAGGAACTCTCATTCTCTCTGATCTAGAATTAACAAAGTAATTCAAGCTGCCAGGAAGCCTTCTACCCACCAATCTTGAGTCCAAATAGATAACTTTTGTACAGTTTGCTTAAGAGCACAATTTTTGACTATTTTCCTGAGACATTTCTGACATCTTACACTTTTTTCTCTTCTTGAAAGACAAGGGACTTTCTTACTTGCCTGTTAAGTATATCTCTATCTCGCTACTATATCAGCTAAGAGATCTAGTCCCATAGACTCCTCTTTCTTATTCACTACCCAGATCATTAAGAGGTTTTTAAAAGGACTTAAGAATTTGATTCCTCAAGTTCGATCTCCACTACTAGCCTGGTCTCTAACTTGTTTTGTCTCAGCTAATGAAACCTCCCGTTGAGCCTCTTGCAACCTGTATTCTCTGCTTACTCTCTCGTAGTCTTCTTAGTGGCTATTGCTTCTGCCTGACACACATCCAAGTTTTGCACACTTTGTGTTGATTTGCTTTACCTGTCTTTTCAAATGGACAAAGTTGTTCTCTGCCCTGACATATCTTTCTCCCCAAGGTGGGTTCAACTTTCCACCTCAACCAAGACATAGTATTGTTGTTCTTTCCCCACAACCCTACCTCACTTTTGCAGCATGCCTTACATGTGCTGGATGTTAAATGATCACTGACGTTCTATCTGTCATGCAGTGCTACTCTCTGTAATTCAAACCTCCTTTTCATTTGTTATGGTGGTTCCAGAAAAGCACCCAAATTCATCACAGAGCTGAGCGTATTGGATGACATTGTATCACTTTGTCAGTTAGCAGGTTTTCCAACACCTTTAAATTTGAAGGCAAATTCGACAAAAGTTCTTGCTTCTTCTGCTGCAGCATTCAAGACCATTCCTCTCCACAGTGTCTGCAAAGCTCCCACCTGGTTCCAACCATCTACCTACATCAAGCCTTATTGATTGGATGTGAGAGCCAGAGATGCCATTTGGTGTGGGAGGGCTGTGCCTTCTGCTTTTCATGGATGCGCTCATCTTTGATAAGTTAGCTTATAGTCTACCTATTTGTGTGATCCACAGAGACCACGAAAAAGGACAGCTGGTTTGCCTAGCTGTAACTGTTCTTTCAGTGATCGTCTGTGGATTCATGCATCCCACCCTCCTCCCTTCAATGTCTAGTTACAGTGGACCCTCGACTTACAGACGGCTCGACTTACGGACTTTTCGAGTTACAGACTTCTCTGGCTGCAAAATTTAGGTTCGACTTACAGCCGGAGAATCAACCTACAGACCAGAAAAAAACCAAAATGGAACAAAAACGGAACAAAAATGGCCGGTTACAGATTAATCGGGTTTCAATGCATTGTAGGTCAATGGAGCCATTAATTCTGTAAGTAGAGGATCCACTGTATCTTTCTCTTTGGCAGGTAGAATGAGGGCTGCTGGCCATGGCATGCCTTTATATATGAAAGGATGGGTATAGGCTGGGATACCGCCAAAAAGCCTAGCTGGAGAACATTCCAAAACATGGCTCTGTGCGTGCACGAACCCAGATCCACTCAAAGAGCAGCAGTTACAGATAGACGACCAGTCATTCTTATGTAAAGTTTAGACTGTAAAATGCTCATTCTTTAGGGATCCTTTCAATTTAGATGCTTTTTATTTGGTTCCTTGTTTGTTTTCTTTTTTGTGTGTTTATGCAAAAAAAAAAATAATTCAGTCAGCTGTTGCACAAAAAACTTCATTTTATTTTGATTGCATCCGATCCTTAAAGAAAACCAGAGGGAAATCCAATTGCTGGTTCCAACTAGAGTAGACCCATCGAATCAGTTGCTAAATGGAAATCCCATGGATGGATTCAGTGGATCCTCTGTGTATGCGATTTGGAATTGGAGTTTGGTCACATTTTTTGCAAATCCTTTTCATTATCTAACCAGTGGAATTAGTTTGGCACTTTTGTTAGTCACTTAACAATATGTAACAAAATAGGCATTGTTTATTAAGTGCCTTTTATTTGCAATAACAGTGATTCCCAAGCAGAGGGGGTCTGCCCCCCACAACTTTTGGGAAGAGGTATGTAATATGCAATTTAACGAAGACAAAACAATTTGGAAAATAGGGATATAAACAACAATACTGACTGCTTTCTTATCACATAGATTATTGCGAAGCTCTTTCCTCTGCTGAATTTACAAGAGCTTTTTGTTGTTGTTATTGTGTTTAGTCACAATATTTCAAATGAAATTATTAAGAGAGGCACGTCTGAAGGAGGAACATAACATTATTTTCCAATTAAAATGCTGGGGGATAACTTTATTTTTGATTAGAAAGGAGGATGAATGCATAGAAGCTGAGAAACACAGCTGTAACATCACAGACTTGGCATCATAAGTTTTTTTTACTGCAAAAAAGCCAGATACTTTGGTGAAGTAAAGCAAGGAGAGAGAGAGAAGTATGCTCCTGTCACATGCCAGGTGTCACAGAGCAATGACAACTGCCAAGGAATCTAATGACACATCAGTTTCTTCTGCTTTTCAAGATTATTTTTACTGCAAGCTGCTTTAATGAAATTATAGGCACCACTTAAATTAATGGAACCAGAATGAGGCAATTTTAGCTCTTTGTTTCCTCCCCCCCACATACACACACATGATGATGTTAGCAATCTCTGCTCTGAATTTGCACAGTAATGTCACATGTGAAGAAACTTGGGGGTTGCTAGAAACGCCTTCAGTAAAGTGTGACTCAAGATTTAGATTTTTTTAAAGCAAAAAAAAATGCAGTAAAGGGCTGAATGAATACTACATGTCAGGTTGACATTGGCTTGGAAACGAGGAGCTTAATGGAGGTCTATGGTATATTATTTTAGCAGCAGTAGAGTATGGAACCATTAGAGTCCACCATTCATAATCCTCCAGCAAGGGCCACAAAGTATCTTTTTAGTTTCAAAAACACAGATCACATCAGGTTATATGACAGCAAAGAGAAAGACAAACTGTCGCAGTTCCATCTCATAGATACTGATCTATCTCTGACTAGCATACATGCTATGTTGATTCACTAGATGTGATCTGAGGCACTGTGGGGACAAAAAGCATTCTTTAGTTCTAATATGGTACAGGTGATAGATATTCCAAATATAAAGTGACTTTGCTCCTCGCTGGTTTTCCATTTCAGTGGTTTTGTTTGTTCTTAAATACATTTAAAAAAATCTTTAGAAACATGTTGCTTTGCTTCTGCTGGTATACAACTTCTGGATTTATTTGGAAAGGAAAAGTACAGTGTAATAGAAGTCTGTATACCAGCTTTGGTGACATTGTATCCTTTTCTAGCTGTATCACAGGCTTTTTTTGTAGAGGTGACTCCACCATGAGGCAACTGAAGTGCTATAGATTTGGGGAACTATTAAACATGGCAGAGCACGAGATACCGTATTTTTCCGTGTATAAGATACCCCCATGTATAAGACACCCTCCAGTTTTCTAATCCAAAATTAAGAAATCTAAGTAGGGCTTAGCAAGTGCAGGGGAAAAGGGATCAAAGCGCTGCAGGATCGCTTTGATCCCTGCTTTCCCCTCCATTTGTTTTTGTTCTCTCCTCAGCTTACTTACGTGTATAAGATGACCCACCTCTCCTCAGCTTACTTACGTGTATAAGACAACCCACAAGTTTTAGTCTAAAGATTTTAGACAAAAGTATAGTCTTATACACAGAAAAATATGGTAATTCCTGACTCTGTGGGACAGAACCTGCCAGTGATGCACTTGATCAGTTCTTGTTCATTGACATGAGACTTGGGCAGGACGATGTGTGCTCTAATAGGTTACATCTGCCTTCTGCTCTGCCACACTTAATATTTTTCAAAAGTGTTTCTTGTTAGTTAGGAAAAGAGCATCCCACTAAGATGAATGTAAGAAGCGGCCTCATATTGCATTGGATCACTCGTCTGCATGCTCATGTACTGTGTTCCATGACAAAGACTGAGGCAGTCATCGTCACTTGCTCTTGCTACACAAGTTTTCTTAACCAAAAGTAGCATGGAGTGAGTGTGGGAACTCAGCTTGCTAGCTATGTGCTCTATAACAGCAATTTGAGCACGTGCTTTAAATATAGATGGTGGTACATGACTTCCACCCCAAATCTGGAACTATTGTTTCCAGTCAGTGTAGACAATGCTAAGGTAGATGAATTAGTGCACTTGTTCTGGTGTAAGATGTATTCTGTATGTTTCTGTGACACTTTTTCTACTTTGGGCCCCAAAGTTTTGCAGAACAGTCCTGCCTGGGAACAGTCCCCTTGATAGTGAATAATAATAGACATAGAGTAAGAGGTTCTTGCATCTTTCTCTCTAGGTACTTGATAATCAGATGAAAAAAGATCTTGCGGACAAAGAAGCGCTCGAAAACGTGTTGAGGAAGCATGAGGAAGAAGCCCGTGAAAAGTGCAAGCTTCTTGCAGAACAGAAAGCAGTATGTGAAGCATCTGCCAGACATCATAATGTTTGATTCTGATAACCAAACTTGGCATATAGATACTATTCGTATGTGTATATTGGATGATTCATAAAGATAGTTGGCACCAGCCTATCAGGTTTGACCAGTTAGATTACCTGAAGCTTGCACACCTTTTATGAAAATTGCTCCTAATATACATATTAAGAAAGTAGAATGGCCTGCTATTGTTGCTGGTTCTGTGAAAGCTGACACATTTGAAGTTGCTATGTTGGTGAGACGTTCCTATTGAGCATTCCTGGACTGGGTCAAATTCCAGGGTCCCTTTCCAAAGCTAATTAGCTAGAAGCTTCTGTAAAGATATAAACAAGACTAGTCAGAGATTTTAGGGAAGATATATTGGTGGCAGCCTTCCTGGTTATTCTTGGCATCTAAGATTCAGAAGCCTTCTGCTTCTGGCTAGGGTAATTACATTTAGCAATCATGGGCAGTGTCCATCGCTCTATGAATGTAGCTTACCTTGTCAGAAAAGGTGAAGTCATACCCAATTGTTCCAAGTTGGGTTAACTTGAGTGTCTGATAGAAAAAGAACAGCCTTGCCCTTCCATCATTGCTCTGTTTGTATAAAGAATGATACTCTGAAATGGTGGGTTCATACCCAATTGTTCCAAGTTGGGTTAACGTGAATATCTGATAGAAAAAGAACAGCCTTCTGTTACACATGGATGCTGCGCACACACTGGAACCTTGAAACGTCAAGATTTCTGATTGTGGGGAAGAGGCTGCACATATAGAGCATGTTCCTTTTTAGACGAAGGAACAGAACTCTCTCCTGAATGGGGCTCTTAAGTCAGTGCCTATCGCCACATCCTGTGACAATGTGGTTTCATAACTTGCTTCTCTTTTGTCAATAAGTACATTCATTTACTTACCATAAGGAGAACTATGCTGGACTAGAACAAAATTTTTTCTAGTCCAGCCTTTTTCCACAATTGCCAACCCATGAGCTCTGTAGGAAGCCGGCAATCAGAAGATGAGTGCAACAGCACCATTATGTTCATGCTTCCCAGTAACTGAAACTGAGAGGCATCCTGCCTCTGATATTGGAGGTGATATGCAGCCATCATAAGCTGTAGCTAATGACAGTTCTATTATCTGTGAATTTGTCTAATCCCTTTTTAAAGCTCTCCATAGTGACAAGGAATTTAACTATGGACTATGCAGAGAAGTACTTCCTTTTGTTTGTCTTGAATCTTTACCCATTCAGCTTCATTAGATGGCCCCAGGTGTTCTGAAGAAAAATTTGCCTCTTTCCACTTTCGCTATACCATACAAGATCTTTATATATCACTTTTCTTGTCTTCCTCTAGGGAAATAATTGTGGATAGATAATCACTGGTGAAAAGTTAGGTACCATCCATTTTTTTGAACATCTCTACTAAGCATCTTATGAAACCCAAGGTTCTCCAGAATAGAGTTTAGAAGCCACTGTTAAGCCATATTAATAGAGAATGCCTTTCTTTCAGATGATCAATGCTATGGATTCCAAGATTAGGTCTCTAGAACAGAGGATAGTTGAATTGTCCGAAGCTAATAAGCTTGCAGCAAACAGCAGCCTGTTCACACAGAGAAACATGTAAGTATAAGAAAGGCTGTTAAGCTGTTTTTTGAATCTCACAGTGCACTGGGGAAGTTTAGAATGTCCATGTACTCTTAGTGAAGCAGCTCCTGTTTGCTTTTCACAAAGATTACTTGTCCTAAGAGAACCTGCTGCCCCCAATTTTTTAAAAAAACCTTGTTCCTGGTAACTATCTTCAGGGTACTTTGCTCCTTTGGATAGTAACAATTGCCAGCCTGATTCATTCCATTCATGTGGAGCACTCGATCAAGCTGTAGTGATCTTTGCCTTTCTCTTTCTTGTTGAATGTCATCTGATTATAATTTTTTTAAAGTTCAAGTTATTTCTGAAAATTCAAGTACTTTCTGAAGAAGGAAATGAGGTGATGGAAATTTGTTCGTGTGCATCAGTCTGGCATCAGATGGGGGAATGATACCTACATCCCTTTCTGCTACAGATAATGACCCTTAGTTTTTTTTAAAAAATTAGATTGCTTTGGGCCGGGAGAGACAGAAGGATAACTTTATTCTCCAGATTTTTTTGTTAGGCATGGCATTTCCCTGATATGCAGGAGCCTTAAATCCGTGGGGACCGATGGAAATGTAAAACGTTTGTTATTTTACCTGTAGTTATGGGGATGGAAATGTTCACTCTTCTCACAACATAAAGTATGAATTGTTCTTGAAATGAAACAATGGCTCAAATCCTGTTGTGTAACATGAATAGTCATACATTTTGGTCTATTCCTTGCTGGTAAGCAAAGGCCTCCCTGCCATGATTTTCAGAGCTGCATGCACAGGCTGGCTTGGGGCATATGCTAGTACCTCTGAGAATCTCAGTGGGCACTCTTTATTCACTGTTGAGGAATGGACTGAAATTTATGACTTTACTTACGTTACATGTCAGGATTTGGGCCAATATATTGTTTTATATGTTATTGTTTACTTTATGCCACACAGAATAGTATTACATATCATTTTTATGTTTTTATATTATAAATAATCAAGATAAGAGCTGTTATGATCTCTTAAGAAGAAGAACAAGACCAGTCATATAAAAGAATAAGAAGTAAAGTAAGACCCTCTGAGGCTTTTTTTAAAAAAAAATACATCTTACAAACTTAAAAGTATGTTGTATTTCTTTCCTTTTTTTATTTGTAAGCCAATATGTTAGTTTTGTTTTGTTTTTGTTATATTGAAAATAAAGATACAAAAATAAAATTAATAGTAGATTAGGAGGAGGAGGAAGAAAACTGCCCTGGTCAGCTTTCAGTGTGGATAAAGCTCATATTTCTCAGCCTTCCTTATGACAGAGTACAGTTCTTCCTTGAATTGCATGCGTTTGAGCAGCAGAGGGTCCAAAACGCTGCAGCCAGATTGCTGGCTGGGGCTTGTTCCAGGGACATCAGAACTCCCCTGTTACAGCAGGTCCATTGGCTGCTGATCTGTTTCCAGGCACAATTCAAAGTCTGGTTTTTACCTATAAATCCCCAAATAGCTTGGGTCCAAGCCATCTGAAAGACTGCATCCCTCTCTATGAGTCTGCCCAGGCCTTAAGATAATCGCAGTCCCACTACCCTCACAGGTGCACTTGGTGGGGACAGAGAAGAGGGCCTCCTCTGTTGCTGTTCCCAGGGTCTGGGCCTCCCTCCCACTAGAGGCTGGCCCCATCCATGCAGTCCTTCCATAAGCAGGCAAAGACCTTTCTGTAATGACTGGTGGATTGAGAGGGTTTTTTAAAAAATGGATTGTTGTGTACTGTACTTTTGCTTTAAATGTATTTTTGTATTGATCTTATTTACCGTTTTTAATAGGATACTTGTTTAATTCTTTTTTTAATATTTGTATACTTAGTGTTTTTAAGCTTTAAATGTTGCCTTTTTAATGGTGTTATCCGTCTTGGTTCCTTTTTTTCTATGGAGAAAGGCGGATAAAATTATTTTAGATAAATAATAAATTTTCTGTGTGTCTGATTTTGGAATTTCTAGATTTTGCAGAGAAAGGAGGAAAGTCTACTTTCTGGGGGAAGTTTAAAAGATTCAAACTCTGATTAGAACTGAGCAAGAGAGAACGCTGAAAGCACACTTGAGCTCCTTGTTCTAATTGTGGAATATGTCCATTTTTTTCATGGCTAATAGCTGGGAAAAGGCATTGCTGACTGTTCTTGTTACTTCTGGTATTATTACCTCTCACAAATCTGCTTCTTCTTAACTAATAAAGTTTTTCAAGGAAACCGTGGGAGATGAAGTTACTCTCAGCTTGTGTATGAGCAGTGCATGATATAGAGAAGAACTGTTTCCATGATCTTCAGTGAAAAAAAATAAACCTTTGCATCAGAGTACATATTTCCTCATTCCCCAAATTTTCAGGAAAGCCCAAGAAGAAATGATTTCTGAGCTCAGGCAGCAGAAATTTTACCTGGAAACTCAAGCAGGAAAATTAGAGGCCCACAACAATAAACTGGAGGAGCAGTTGGAGAAAATCAGTCATCAGGACCACTCTGACAAGACTCGTCTGTTGGAGTTGGAGACCAGGTTGCGAGAGGTAAAAATCTTTTAGATGTGCTCCTGTTAATATTGCTGCAGCTGCTGGTATAATTGGTATTCAACAGCTACTCAATTCGCACCAGCAACAGGGCATCTCGGAAGTCTACCAACACCTTCATGTCCTATGGGGTATGCAGGATGACTATGAATGACTGTCTACAACTTAACCTTCACACGGCCTCTCTCACGAGTCAGCAGTGGGAGGTGTTGCATCTGATGCAGTTAGAACCCCTCGGCATGGCTTTTATTCCTTTTGCATGGTGTTTTTTTGGCCAAAATTTTGCATCGGCCTGTAAAGAGAGTAACAGGACATCCAATATTTTCCTTATAGGAAATATTTTGGCATTTGCCTCCCTCTGAAGAATAGGTGAAAAGGCATTTTGAGTGACAATTGGCCTGATTAAATGTTTGATGGGTCTCAATACTCAGAGGGATCATACTCTTAACATTAGTAGCCAGAGTATTAGTTAGCAGCTGTGAAAATCATGTACTGTATTCCTAATGATGTTCAACTACTACCTAAGCAGAAAATGGCCAAAAAGAGAAACCTAATGGCCTGCTTAGCAAGGCTTTTATAGCTTATAGTTTGAAATTAGGTCACTTATTTTTATAAACATTCCTTTTCATCTGTGACCTACCCCACCCTCCTGCAAAAAATATACAAACATGTCAAACAGCATCTTTCAAAGATAAATTTGTTAAGGCGTCACTGTTCCATGCTAATAAAGAAAAAAGTGGAAATGAACATTGAGCTGTATATGGATGGAAGGAAATATTCCATGGGTCATAAATTATCTGTTAATTATCTAATTTATCCATGTATTGTCCTGCTGACAACCAACAAACCACACTTTGTTATACCAAGTTCTGGTATCTTCCCTTTTGTCAGCTCCTATTTCAGGATGGATGGCTAGGAAGACAAACAGTTGTTCTGGGCTCATGGGTACCCAAACAGACACAGCTCAGACAAGGCAGCATTCAGAAGGCAACAGCAAACCATGGCTAGGAAGACAAACAGTTGTTCTGGGTTCATGAGTACCCAAACATACACAGCTCAGACAGCATTCAGAAGGCAACAGCAAACGATGGCTTCTAATTGTAGTTTGTGAATGCCTATCAAACTGAAGTTTATGGGCACAGTTTGATATTCAACCACTTGTTGGAATTCAGCAAATCCCAGCATGACTTACTGTTACATATAAACGTTGCCAGTGTGTCCCAGCATGACTTACTGTTACATATAAACATTGCCAGTGTGAAGTGAATACACACACACACACACACACACCACACACACACACACTGTACTCCAAATGAAGCCATATAGTATAGTATACAACACACAACACACACACACACACAAACTGTACTCCAAATGAAGCCATATATTCTTGTATAGTTGAGCAATGTGTTGCATTATGATGCTATTCTAGGAGGAAATCACTAACCATGAGCAGATGGTGAGTATCCCAAAAGGCAAATTTCTTATGGCATAAACTTTTTGCTGGTTTAAAAAGAACCACTTCATCAGACCCATAAGATGGGAAACTCGTTCACATTGCCTAGTATCACCTTTCTTGGTGTTTCTGGAAGACACCAAGCAACTTGCAGTCTGGATTTGCTAAGTATCAATGCTGTATTTAAACTCTCCAGGTGAGCCTTGAGCACGAGGAGCAAAAACTGGAACTCAAGCGGCAGCTCACGGAATTGCAACTCACTCTCCAGGAGAGAGAATCTCAGATTTCAGGGTTGCAGGCTGCCCGTGCTGCCCTGGAAAGCCAGCTTCGGGAGGCTAAAACTGAGCTGGAGGAGACCACCGCCGAGGCAGAAGAGGAGATTCAAGCTCTGACGGTAAGCTGCAGAATTTTAAGCTGAAATGAGGAGTTGTGTCCCTCAGGATAAAAAGTACGCTGGTCTTCTGCTAGATCGTTTTGAAATGATGATATTGAAATGTATCCTGCATTGCCACCGCTGCTGTTGCTGCTGTTGTTGCTGCTGCTGCTGATCTGGAGATGGCTTCGCTTGACTTTTCCTGCTTCTCTTGGTCTTGTATCTTATTTCATCGTTCGCTGAAAATGCACCCCTTAGCACTTTGCCACTGGCCTGGCTGCCTGCGATACTCTAGGAATGGCAGCCCCAAAAAACAAAACCAGTGGCCTTTTTCCATTTCTGCCAAATGCTTTAATGTTTCTGGGCAAGGGTAGGTCCACAGAGCGGTGACGTTTTTCCTTCTTGTGAATTTCACTGACCAGAATAATGGGAACATCCACAACCGAGTAGAAAGCAGTCATTATTGCCTCCCCTGCTTGAAATGTGCCATGCTCAAGAAACCTTGAAGCAGATCCACTTTCAGATTATGTTTAGATGACAATCTGAGTGGAGAACTGGATCTTCTGACTAGCTAGCTTAAAGGCCACTTGGTTCTGGTAAAATGCCCAAGTTCAGGGTCTTCCAAGCCCTACATCGGGCCTCTGTTCTTTGCCGCAGGTGTGCTACTTAAGAGATCTCTCTTTGTCAGTTGCCTTTGTGGAATGTTATTCAGACAGCAGGCCCATTTCGCGAGAGGGTAGGGGAGAAATATACTTTTGGTGAATGGTCTTTTGAAAGAAAAAGAAAAGTCCTTGTGGAGCTCTGGAACAGATATGAAATGAACGAGTCCTAAATCAAAAAGGCAGAAGCAGATATTAAAGATAGCCTAGAAATGTTCTTTTTTTCAATTTGAGAACTCAGACATTGAAAGAATCTGGTATTTACATCTTGTAAACCAATCCGAAAACAAAGCAAGCCAAAGAACAATCATGGGAGATCAGATAAGTCCTTGCTAGGAAGGTCTTGCATGATCAGGCATAAGGATTTTCTCTTCCAGTTAGCTATGTTTCTGCCCTTGATCTTTTAAAGAGAAGAGCTGCCTGTAACTGAAAATCAGTAGCTTATTCCTGAGTCATGCTTTGGTTTCAGAATATAAGTTGTAGTAAGCGCCAATTGTGGCCTGTTCTTACTGTTGCTTGCTATATACAGTATTCTATCACATCTCCCAGTGCCTTTTGTGTCTATGAGTACACAGGCAAATGTCTCTCAATCACTGAAATACCCTGTTCAAAGATAGAAGTATTCAGAGAGCGTCCATCAAACTGTGATCCCATTATAATCCTGTCCACTGAAAGGTTATACCTCTGGAAATGAATGCCAACTTCATGTTGTTTTCCTTGAAGAAACGCAGCATAGGGCATAAGACCCTTCCCAAATATCACACATTACTGAGACACAACCACTTACGGTATTTTTCGCACCATAAGACGCACTTTTCCCCCACAAAACAGGGGGGTGGAAAGTCTGTGCGTCTTATGGAGCGAAGAAAACAGATTATATTTTCCTGTTTTCTTCTCCTAAAAAATTGGTGCGTCTTATGGAAAGGTGCGTCTTATGGAGCGAAAAATACGGTAATTTTGCTAACATATTCTGCCTATACATTAATGTATGTCTTTGATTTTGAGGCAGATTGGTTACAGGTAAGTAGTCACTTTGCTTTCATGTTTAAAAACAATTGCTCCTTTAAATATGCTTCCCTGTTTCACAGACATCTGAATGAGGAGCTTCCTCTTTAATATGATACTTTGACGTAAGCATCATACTAAAGGGCTACTGAACTCTTATATTGTAAATGAGCTCCTGGAATAAATGCACCTTGAACTTGTCCCCTAATGAAAGATGCTAGTCTTTAGTCGTGCTCTGTGTGGTGACTGAGACCTTCTTTTAAAGTATGTGCCCTTTGCCCCTCTGAATTGAACATAAATGTCTACTGATATGGACTGGTTGTTTTGAAGAAGTCTTGTCACTGGAAAAAGAATATGCTTTGTGGAGTTGGGTCCTCACTTCAACATCTGCTAGATTTGTAGGTAGCGGAAATGATTCCCTCTTGCTTTGGCTGCCAGCTCTTTTTCACTGAAGCGCTCTTCAGTGGCATTTGCATCCAGCTGTGTCGGAAGTGGGTGTTGTGTCTCAGTGGAAGCTAATGAAAGGAACTGGGGCTGCCTTTCATTAGGGAAGACTTTTTTGCATTTGCAGCTGTTCTTTTGGGCTTGGGGGAAATCAGCAGAAGCCTTATGCATGCATTGCTCATGGTGTGGGTATCCTGCCGGGGGGGGGGAACACGTCATCCTCTTCAGTACTCTAAGATGCATATAGTTGGATTGCTGCCAATTAGAAAATGCACTATTGTTGGGGAATTAATGAGTGGTGGGTGTCATGCTGTATCCCAGATGTGGTCAACCTGAGGCATGGGTGTTGTAAGAGAAACAGTTGGTAGGCGTTTGTATTAGTTCTGGACGCTGGGGTTCCTGGACAGTGTTATAGCCTAGGGCGATTTTTCACCTGATCTGTTATGCTCCTGCATTTTGTAATGCAGTTTGTTTTTCAAAAAAGCTTGAAAATATAATCACATTGTCTTTTGCATTTATTGTGCTTGAGACCCTGGAAGCCTACTGCCTGTCAAGGCAGACAATAATGAGCTAATTGGGAGAAATAATCTGACATGGTATAAAGCAGCTTCCTATGAAATACAAAGTCCCCCTAAGAGAAGCATGCTGAAAATGCCTGTGGGCTTGGTAGTATGCCAGTTTCTTTTTTTTTCTTGCTCCTTCCTAGTAGACAGGCTGTTCTCAAATCTGCAAATTTCAGACACAACTACCCCGAGGCATGGAGTGGGGCTGGGTGAACAAGTGTGTGTGTGTTGTCATGCACATTAGACTACTGCTGTCTTGAACGTCTTACTTCTGACACGCTTGCCAGAAAAGGTTGGCCACTGCTTCTCTGTCTGTTCCCATTGAGTGCAAATCAAAATCATTTTTGCTTGTAAAACAGCCTTTCAGATGCGTGGAGATTTTGAGACATCTGGCTTTTATGCTATTAGGGCTTGGCATGCTTTGTAATAATATTTTGCTTGACATTAAAATGATATGGCTGCAAGATTTGTACTTCCTCAAAAGAGTTGCTGTTTCAGTCTAATGATTCCATTGCTTTCATTTTGGATATGGAAGCCAGAGGAATGATGGAAAGGTTCTTGTTTGATCCTTTTTCAGTTGATTGTGGAAGAAAAAGTTCATTTTCTAGTCCATCGCTTGACTTGGGCTGAGCAGCTGTTCTTCCTTCCTTCCTTCCTTCCTTCCTTCCTTCCTTTTCCTTCCTTACCTACCTACCTACCTACCTACCTACCTACCTACCTACCTACCTACCTACCTACCTACCTACCTACCTACCTACCTACCTACCTACCTACCTACCTACTGGAGCTGATGGGTTGAATAAAGAAGAACTATGGAGCCATACATGAATACCAGTCTCTCTGCTACAGTTTGAGACTGAAGGGAGAGGATTCGGTGGCTGGAAGATGAACTTCCTCTTTTGTCACACTTAGCTTCTGAAACAAATTAAACAATGCATGCCTTATCATGATTTCCTTAAAACACAATGCTTTGTGTCTTCAAATAAGTTCAATTTTCTTTTTCTAAAGACATATGGTAGTTGATATTGTTGCTCTGAGGAAAAGCCAGGTTGCTAGGTAGGCTTGTGGAAGAAGTGTTTTGGAAAATTTTCCTGACACTTTCTTGTGGGCTTTTCTAACTTGTATGTGTGCAGAAGGTTTAAAATATTGTCTTTTTTTTAAGGTTGCATGAAATATTAGTTCAGATTTAGAAATAAATACACAAGGCAAGCAAGAATATTTTAAAAGGCAAAAGTAAAACTTGAATATTAAGTGGCAACCATCATAAGATAACTTAAAAGGAATGTACTTTGTTAATACAGTATATGGTCTTTGCTAAGCAGCTATGCATAGAAATCTACAGGTAGCTCCAGCAAGGACACTGTAATTTGTAATTCTCAGGATGCCTTAAGTCAATGCAACATCTGGTTCTTTTGTCCTGGTAGCGGTCATATCCTGCAGCATCTGCCTTCTAAACTTCGCTTGCTGGTAGATTGTCCCGCACTTCATTTAGAAACGGCTGTTGGATTCTAAATCTAATGTATGAAAAAATTGATGATCAACTTCTTACCTCCTTTAGGCACATAGAGATGAAATCCAGCGTAAATTTGAAGCCCTTCGTAATAGCTGCACAGTGAGTATTAAATACAGATCATTGAATTATTTTGAAATTAAGGCTGAGGAAAGAAACAATCTAATTTTGATCCTTGGAGACGAGGGTTCATGATATGTCCCTTTGCCTTCAAGGAGTAAGCAGCACCAAGACTGATTGGATTGCTTCTTTAGATCTCAGGTAAATCTCAGCTTAGAGGTTTTAACCTGATTTTAAAATTGACAGTGTTCCTCAATTTTTTTTTTAAAAAGTCAATATGAAAATCTCATTGCAGTGCAGCTAATAAGAATGGTGTAGCAGCTGCAACAAATGCATGCAAAAACATGTACATATGATTTTTATCCTTCTATTCAGAGGAATTTATCCCAGCACTAGTGTAGAAAGGCAGAGGGAGGCAGCTAGCTAGGTTAAGATGCCCCTAATATGAAATCTGGCTATGGACAGGGTTGTAGGCAGTGGTAGTGTCAGGTCTCTCGTCTTCGCATAGGAAAATGCCATCAATGCTATCACTTCTGAAACGCGGTGTGAGTGTACCTTTGCTACAAACACTGATTTTGGCTGAAGCTGCACGAATATCTGTACATTCCTGCTTTGGATCTTAAATTGTATGAAAAATCTGTGTGAAGCAGCTATAAGATTTCCCAAAGAATCATGCAAACTTTCATTTCTGATTTCTTTTTCCTGCCATCAGCATTTTAGTTTCTAAAGTTTAGTTATCTCTTCTGGATGTTGTTAAAGACAGTACATTGTGTTTGTGTGCACGTGTACACACACAATATTTTCTCCAGCATTATGGCTGCAAGATGCAGATAAAGGATGCAGTGTCTTAAAAAAGAATCTCACTGAGTCTCAGTGCAAATACTATGTGTTGAGGAAAAAGTATTTTCAGTTTAAATTTCTTCCCTTTTCTAGATTTTGATGTTGGAAGTAGTATCAGAACAGCTGAAGAGCCTTTTAGAAGTCTCTTAATGGTGTAGTACCAGACAGTTTTTAGAGGCTGTTGGTTGATAGAAGCTTTTATTTCGTTCCTGTCTCGCTATTTCATGTTCTGAGCTTCTTTCCTGACACGAGCATGGGGAAACAGCTGAGGACATCTTCTTTTAGACATGATTTAGTCTGGCTCCCAAGCTTTTAGCTCAAAATATCTTTTCCACCATTTTTTCTTTAAATCATGAACCTTCTTGAAGTTCTCAAGAACTTAGCAAATGTTGGTTTGCACATATATGTTCATCTTTTGACGACTGCACCCTCACAGCAACCATCAAAACCTCTGTATATGGAAAGAGCTATCATGGATACTGTATTGCAGGTGGAATCGTTGTGCAGCTCCATCACTGTGAATGCAGTGCTTTTTCCATGCTCAGATTGAGCCGCCCTTTGTCTAGTGTTTATTTCAAGCCTGGAGAAATCAAGCAATCAGCATGCACGTATCAGCTAGCCCAGCCTGTTGATTAGCTTTCTTTTATTTTTATGAAAGAGACAAATCTCTCATCGTGTAGGTCTGTCACACTGACAAATTTAGAAGAAGAGCTGATACATGCCAAAGGATGATTGGAAGGTTATTCTTGTCCTTTATGCTGTTCATGTTGTACAGAGACACTGGATACTTGTGGAGGTCACCTTGTAAGTACATGGGTCTGTGGGGAAGAAAACAGGGAAGGCGAAGCTTCATGTGTTAGGCAAACAATATGATACTTGGAGTAAGCAGCCCAAAAGGTTTTTTTTTTCCTACTAAGGCTGTCATGACTTCTACACAAAGATTCATAATCTTCCACTCTGGGGAGCGACAAAGCTGTTTTGGTGCCAAAGCCAGAATACTGTTTCCCTTCTTTCAAGCAGACAGAGTGAACTGGACAATCTCTAGCTCTTGACTTAACGTCTAAGCCCCTCTGCTAGCAGCCCAGTCAGATTGTGGGCAAGGGATGGTCTTCCTCAACCAGGTTGCTTTGACCAAGGAAACACTTAAGTTCTTGGTTGCTTGGGAGGACGTGAAAATGTGGACTTGAAGTCAAAAGAAAGCAGGAGAATGGGAGGAAAGAAAGACGGCTCTGGGGCCGATTGCTGACTTTAACTCCCCTTGTCCCAAATGGTGGTAGCCCTTAGCAGATTATCCACAGAAATGCAAACCTTGATGAAAAGGTTAAAGTATCTGTTAATAACTGTATGCTGTCAAGTAGATTCTGACTTATGATGACCCTATTGGGATTCTCAAAGTATAAAGTGGTGGTTCTCAGGAATTGCGCAGTTTGCTCAAAGCTATACCAGGTGGTGGGCCGTGTAATTCCATCAACCACACAGAATGGAAATTTGAACTCCTAATGACTGGTTTTAAACCAGCTGCTCCAATCCAGTGAACTACATCTGTTCACTTCATTACTCATAGGGAAGGTTTTCCCCCCGTCCCACCATTAGCTTCCTCTCACTATTAATGTGAATCCCCTGTGAAAGAGGACTTAATTCCTTGGCCAAAGGACTCTGGAGGAGGAAGACCTCAGAGAGCAAAATAAAAAGGCTTTGGAAGAAAGGCCTATTTTCTTTAATGCGAGTAGATTCTCCAGTGAACAGTGGATTCTGGAACAGTCATCCAAGAAGACACTGTTCTGGGATTCTAAAGTCTTCTTCAGGAGTTGAGAAGATTTCCGGTGACTTAAGTGGATGGCGTTCATGAGATAGGCAAGAAGTACGTTGCAGCTTCAAAGGACCACTTCCTTTCAGATAACCTTTTCTTTTCACACTTCTGCCTCCAGCAATCCCTATCTCTGTCTCCAGCAGTACTGTATGCAATTTCTGGTTACCATTTCTGTTCTTCCACTTCAGAAGCAATTGTGTTGTTGCAAGGTGTCATTTATTTCGGAGCAGCCAGGATGTCTATTCAGATGTTTCTTTCCTGTGGACTCCAGCTGTAGGGGTTAGTTTTTGTCTTCTTCATACTCTGTCATCTAAGATCCTGAATCCAGCATCCTAGTTGGGACATGCAAACATATTTCCAAAGCCAAAATCCCAACTGTGTGTGTGTGTGAGAGAGTGTGCATCCACAGGGTGCAACTTCCTAAATCATCAGAACAAGTGAATCAATTCTCTAGTTTTTCTCAGCACACAATCAATTGGCTAATGTGTGTGTGTGTGTGAGAGGGAGAGAGAGTGCATCCACAGGGTGCAACTTCCTAAATAATCAGAACAAGTGAACCAATTCTCTAGTTTTTCTAAGCACACAAACAATTGTGTTCAGAAGTTGGGTCAGTGGATGTTTGTAATATGTGAGAAAGCAAATAAGTAAAGCAAAGCAATTTATCATCATGTCTCACAGAACAGAATTTAAGCTCCTTTTTTAGGTCTGTCATAGCTTTAGCTATACATTCATGTCAATTAGTCTGCTTAATCAATTGCTTGTCTGGTTCATTGCAGCTAACAGAAAAACATATGTTTTAGTACTGAAAATGTACTTTCTGTCCTCTAAACCTTGGCTGCTTTATTTGTTGTAACTGTGTTGATACTGCAGATTGTATTTTTAGGCTTGATTTGTGATGTTTCTTGATTGAGAACAGGGGGTAATATCATGTAGTTATTCACCTAACCGAAAGACTGTTGTAAAAGCTGGGAATGTTTAGTGCTAGTTAAGCATGTACAATTCATTTAATCATAGTGTTCAATATGTACGTAAGAGATATATTTGTAATACTACATAGTACTAGGGACGTGGTGGCGCTGCAGGTTAAACCGCAGAAGCCTCTGTGCTGTAAGGTCTGTAGATCTTCAGCTGTAAGATCGAACCCACGTGAGGGAGTGAGCCCCTGTCACTTGTCCTGCCAACCTAGCGGTTTGAAAGCATGTAAAAATGCGAGTAGATAAATAGGCACCACCTTGGTGGGAAGGTAACAGCGTTCTGTGTTTACGTCGCACTGACCATGGATTTGTCTTCGGACAAACTCTGGCTTCTATGGCTTGGGATGAGTCATGTGACCACGGAAGATTGTCTTCGGACAAACGCTGGCTTCTATGGCTTGGGATGAGCCCCCTAGAGTCGAACACGACTGGACAAAAATTGTCAAGGGGAACCTTTACCTTACATAGTACTAAGAGTCCTAGGCATGCTTACCTCCAGTGTTTAAGCAATATATTGGGACTGGTTAGGCCTCATCTTGAGTACTGTGTCTGGTTCTGGACACCACACTTTAAGAAGGATATTGACAAACTCGAATGAGTTCAGAGGAGGGCAACAAGGGTGATCCGGGGATTGGGAACCAAGCCCCCCTATGAGGAAAGACTGAAAGAACTGGGCATGTTTAGCCCTGAGAAAAGAAGGCTATGGAGAGATAGGGTAGCACTTTTCAAATACTTGAAAGGTAGTCATACTGAGGAGGGGCAGGATCTGTTCTCAGTGGGCTGATGTTATAGAAAACCAGATTTAAGTTGAATATCAGGGGGAAAAAATTAACAGCAATACAACAATGGAACCAGTTGCTTGGGATGTAGTGAACACTCCAATGCTGGGGGCATTCAAGAGAAAATTGGGCAACCTGTTTTGAACAGACTCAGTGGCCTTATAGACCCCTTCTTACTCAATTATTCTATGATTCTGTATCTATTGGGCAGTACCCGTCATCCAGAACTGAAGGAAATGGTGGCATATCCTTCCTCACCTTGAGTTACCCTTTTCATTTTTTGTTTCTTTGCCTGCCTTGGATTCACATGACTTTTTGTTGCCTGGCAGCTGGATGTTCAAGGCAAACCTTGGCCTTTCTGTTTCTGCTGTCCAACGTCCTGGCATTTGAGAAGCACAATGGGCACCTAAACCCTTTCACCCTTTTCCGTTAGTGAGAGGAGGGAAAAACATAAATAAGACAGCATTTCAAGACACAAAGTGTGTAAACAACTTAGCCTTGCCCTTCAAACTTAGGCTGATGATTCCAACACTTTGAAGGACAAGTGGGGTTATTGCAACGTAAAGTTGAAGCCTTCCTTAGCCAGAGCGTTGCTATATTTTTCAGTTTCTGTAGAAAAGTGAGCTGTATTCTGCAGATAGTTTATAGATGTACAAAATTTACTGTCTCAGTCCCACATTTGTCATAATTTCTGGGCTAAGAAAAGAACTGCCAACTTCTGTGAAGTTTTCTTGTTGGTAATTTTTACTTGCCACAGATGAGTGGCTATTTACAGCTACGTGATTCAGTCTCTTCATTTATAGTGGGTTGTGTGCAATGATGGAGTCTTCATGGTTTTTTTGTTGTTGTTGTTTTGGCAGACGTGTAAGCATGTGCTGTCCTCTGCAATCTGTAATGTTTAAACAACTTGCCCTTGTTAGTACTATGGGATAACACAGTGGTTTAGGCATTGGCTGGGAGTTCGATTCCCCCGCTGGGACTCCTTGGCAGGAGCTGAATTCAGTCATCCAAAGGGTCCCTTCCACTCTGTGGTTCTAAGATGATGGCAATTACTTTCTTGTGGAAAAAACAGTTTTTGCTTCCCAGCCCAGGGTACAAATCATATGTTTGAAGCAAACTCTCAAAGTACAATAGCATCTTTTGTTCTCTAAACATACCATCAAAGAAATGGTTCTTTAGAATTTTTCGAAACATATTTACACTTTTAAGAAGAGACTCCGATAAGACAGTGACTTGTCACAAAGTGGGTGTGGTGGTTTTCCTTTCACAGTTTTAGAAACCACCCAGAAAGGGTGAGCAATCACTCAGAAAATTATCTGAAGGTGTCCCCAAGGAAGTAAAGTTATTACCGTTGAGTCGCTGCCCTCATATCAGCAGAAACAGCCCCCCTTTCTGCTCTCTCCATAATTTCAAATTTTGTTTTCCATGTTCGTTGTCAGAAATCAGGAGTATTATTAAAGAACTATGTCTGAAAGTTCATTTGGACGTGCAAAGATAGAGGTTTGGTTCATTGTTTCACGGGATCCTTAAATTGATGTTATTTTGATCCTTGGTTTTCTTACGTTTAAATCAATATACGCTTGGGAAGAAATTATAACACGTGCTGTTTGCTTCCTTAGGTGTTTTGTAAATAATACAATAATGTAGATATAGTTTGATATTTTTTCACATGGTTTTTGAACTTTTACCATAACTGTCATATTTTATACCTTTTCCCACCTTATAAATTGCCCTTTCTGTGGGTGCTTTAAAGACAATGTATAGTAAAACAAAATAAAACTTGGTTTAAAAGTTGAAAAGAAGTCTCAAATCAGTAAAAGCAGACTCAATAAAACAGCATAGTAGTAAGAAGGAAGTACTACAGCTAATAAAAAAAAGGTTAAGGAGACAAATGCCTTTGTTAACTAGCAGCTTCATAGCAAGTATTTCATATTTATACAGAAGAAGGATTCCTAGTTATTCAATGTATATTACAGTGGTGCCCCACTTGACGATTACCCCGTTAGACGAGGAAATAGCTTTTTGATGAGTATTTTGCGATTGCTTGACGATTGCTTCGGGAACTGATTTTTCGCTTAACGACGATCAAAACAGCTGATTGTCGGGTCTTCAAAATGGCCACCCGCTGTGCAAAATGGCACCCCGCTGTGTTTTAGGACAGATTCCTCACTATACAGGCACCAGAAAATGGCCGCCCTATGGAGGATCTTCGCTGGACACGGAGGCATTTCGCCCATAGGAACACATTGAACTGGTTTTCAATGCATTTCAATGGGTTTTTTACTTTCGCTTGACGATGATTTCGTTCTACAGCGATTTTGCTGGAACAGATTATCCTCATCAAGCGAGGCACCACTGTACAGTGTTTGGGACATTATATGAACTGCTGAATAGCTCTGTGGTTTAGGTATCTGGCTATGGAGCCACAGATTGGTAGTTTGATTCTCCATTATGCCTCCTTGGCAGGAGCTGGACTCAACGATCCATAAGGGTCCCTTCCCACTCTGCAGTTCTAAAATGATGATGATTACTCTTCTGCTATTTGGATTTTCTCCATAACCTGACTTGAATGTTGAAGATAACCCACATGTTCCTCTGACAGGCAGCGTTGATCTGCTGTGACCTAGAACTTGCTGTCTTTGGGCTGTGAGAAAAATCTATCTGTCTTAGGAAGAGATTGGGGGCACTTTGATAGATATGGCCTTTTTGGATCAGGCCAGAAGTGGATGTAATCTAGCACTTGCTTCCTGACCAACTTGGCCTGAAACAACTCATAAGCAGAATAGCAATAATCTATGCTCGCTGATTGTGATTCTGCAAATGGACCAAAGTTAACAGAAACAACACACACCCAGGAGGAAAGCGGTCTCGGCCAACTGTTCTGCTAACCTTTGAAGATCACAAGCAATTGGAAGAACAAAAGAAAAAGCAGCCTTCTCTATACTTTGAAAATCTGTGATTTAATTAGTCAGGGTAGTCCCTGAACTGGTGCAAACTGCTTACGGTTCTATCATGTGTTCACAACTGGCTGCAGCCAGTCGGCCTGACTTATGCTGAAAACCTTATCCGTGCTTAGTGGCACTGATCCTGGACAACATACATACTGTATAGTGGTAGTACATCATCTTAGAACTGCAGAGCTGGAAGGGACCCTTTGGATCATCAGGCCAGACTTGATGATCCATAGGGATCCCTTGCTGATCCCTTCCAGCTCTGCCGTTGTAAGATGATATACTTCCAAGGCTGTACATAAAGCGCATAGGGATCCCTTGCTGATCCCTTCCAGCCCTGCTGTTGTAAGATGACATACTTCCAAGGCTGTACATAAAGCATCGTTGACTTGGTTTGTAACCCACTGGCATAGCCCTTGAGAGCTCTATGTTACATTCACGCTGCAATGTGGCAACAGGCTAGGACTTAGAGGAGGCTTTTTCACAGAATGGAAAAGTAAGATATTGGTCTCTTCTCTGGAAGAGAATAAGAGGGGGACCTCAAACAGGGGCCTGAGAGAAAGTATTGACTCCATGAAACATGGCCAGAGCCTTTAGAAGAGAGGCTGTCCTTGGGAGCAAAGAGCCCTCCTAGGGTACTCGGTTGAAATAGCTCAGTCAAGCAACTTGTAAGAAGATATATCAGCCTCTTAGTCAAAGGACTTTGGGCACATTCCATGAAATCAAAGCTCAGCAGTGGGGAGGGTTGTATCTTTTCCTTCCTTTTCTCCCACTGTCTTTCTTTAGCTGCCTGTCGGGAGATGCTTTTAGCTGTATGCCTGTCCCCTGAGGAATGAAAACAATCTTTATGTCCATCCCATTGTACTATAGATTGGTAATTTGGGTCCAACTTTCATTGTTTTGTTCACGGTTCGAGTTGGTTTGCACCCACGGCTTTTTCTTGTTTCACTCTCTCATCCCTACTGCTCCCTTCTTCTTAAACCAGTGCAAAAGAAAAATGCTGCTGGTACCTCTGGTTGTGGGTAAGACCCGTGCAATCAAGTTGGTTGTGCTAGAACCAGAGCAGAGCAGTGTAGCAGTACATTGCATGGTTATGGGTACAGTGGAGTTACAGTACGTAGATATACTGCAGGGATTGTCCTACTAAATGTTAAACCATGCAGTTTCATTTTAAGCAAATTTGTCTGCATTTGTTTGACTTCTTTCTCTTCAGTCCTGTCGACACCGGCAAGGTTAGTGGAACACAAAGTATTATTTTGGGATGATATGTTTCAGTGCCCAAGGACCAGCTGTTTTCTTAAATGCATTGTTCCCTGGTTATTTTTCTGTTGCTCATTTAATGCGTATGTCAGCTTTCTCCCAAGAAGTTGATGCACTGCCAAGCATTTCTCCTCACATTTCACAATGTTGCCCTTACCTCTACTGACAAAAGAATCCTGCCCCTCCTAAATCAGAACATGTTCTCTTTGCAACCTACTGGTTTCCTTTGATTCTGTCCTCTTCCACCACCAACCACCATTACAGAATGACATTGTAGGTAATGATATTTTGTTGAAAGAACTCTCAGATAGAAGTTACAAACATCCCTCTCTTGAAACGTAGCAAGTCTATTCTCCAAAGAGGATCATGCAAGGCTTGGAGACGGAAATCCGTTTGTTTGTGTTGTTTATCTCATTATGGCTGCTCAGGAGAGAGGGCTGTTAATAGCTGACTCCCAGTTTCATGCTCTTATTGCAGTGATATGTTCTCTTATCAAAATAAAGTGTCACATTGCAGTGTAAATGTACACATAACATGAAATACCAGATCTTCAGGCAAGGGCTAGGAGCTAGGCATGGCCCAGGCCACAAGACTGCATAACGAATTTTATAGAAACCCATGTGTCAGGTTTCGGGATTTGACTTTTAAGAAGATTTGGCTAGTCACCATTTATCTTAACATTCTCTGGCTTATTACTATGTTTATTTAGGTGATTAGTGATTTGGAAGAGCAATTGAACCAGTTGACAGAGGACAACGCTGAGCTGAACAATCAGAATTTCTTCCTGTCCAAACAGTTAGATGAGGCTTCTGGGGCAAGCGATGAAGTGGTCCAGCTGCGGAGTGAGGTTGATCATCTTCGCCGTGAGATCACGGAGCGAGAGATGCAGCTCACCAGTCAGAAACAAGTAAGTGTTCAAAATTAAAGTGCAAAAAAAGTACAGTATATAACAAACGCTTTCATGGCCTGCAGGCTAAAGCCTAAATCCAGTTGCTAGTTCCATACAGAGAAGACCCATTGAATCAATGCAATTTACTTTTCAGCAGTTGAACTGATTCAACAGTTGATTCCGTTTGGTGTAGTTTGATCTGTTATTTGGATTTAGATGTATCAGACTTCCCCCTGCTTGAAATGTTTACACATCAAATCCTCAACTCCTTTATCCAAATGGTGGACTAGTTGTAAATACTCCTTCACTCCAGAATTCTGTACTTCAGACGTTTATCTCCTGCCCCGAGTTGAAACGCTCCTAACACTCCATTAATGTTCATAGTTGGGGTCTTCATCGGGCAACACAAGTAGAACATACTGGCCTTGACCAGGTACAGCCCTGCAAAGTGGAACAGAGGGAATCTCCTTGGACTCCAGCACAAGATACAGCCCAGGTTTCTGAGTACAATTTCAAGCCACACAGGCCACTGTAACGATGCGTTCTCCAGCACTGAAGTGGTTAACCTGGCGGTGGATTGTTGAAGTTCCTAGAGCAGCACTTTAGCTGTTCCTCGTCCTACAGTAGCAGCCACCTTTGTAGCAGTCTAATCATCCTTGACTTTCTTTTGGCTATTTGCCTTCCATACCCTTTCTCTCTGTAAGAGGCTTGTGTGCAGAGTAGGTCCTCTCGTCACTTTACCATTATTCTGAGTATGTGCAAAGTTGATTGACAAGCAGAAGCAAACATGGTTTCTCATATCCAAAGTACCATATTTTTCCGTGTATAAGAGCCCCCCATGTATAAGACCCCCCCACACACACTTTTCTAATCCAAAATTAAAAAATCTAAGTGAGGATTAGCAAGTGTAGGGGGAAAGGGATCAAAGCACTGCAGTATCGCTTTGATCCTTGCTTTGCGCTCCACTTGTTTTTCTCTCCTCAGCTTACTTCCGTGTACAGTGGTGCCCCGCATAGTGACGTTAATCCGTTCCAGGATTAATGTTGCTATCCGGAAACATCGCTATACGGAAAGAAAAACCCCATAGGAACGCATTAAACTCCGTTTAATGCGTTCCTATGGGGGGGGGGAACCTCACCGGTAAGCAGATTCCCCATCTGGCCACCATTTTCGCCGCCTTGGTAAGCGAGGGCAGGGCACGAAAACGCTGCAGGCGGCCATTTTCTGCACCCGGTGGCCATTTTGAAATGCTTACCGATCATCGCAATGTGATGTTTTGCCACCTAAAACATCACAATGCGATCGCCTTAGTGATTGCAAAAAACGCGTTGCTATGCGGATTTGTTGTTAAACGGTGCACTCATTCAGCGAGGCACCACTGTATAAGATGACCCTCAATTTTTAGTCTAAAGATTTTAGATAAAAGTATAGTCTTATACACTGAAAAATATGGTAACTAGACATCCTTTCCTGACCTTTCACCACTTGGGTTCCTGAAGACTCAGCTTGACCTCTAGAACTAGGTTGCTGAAGCCAAGCATTTAGCAAAAAGTCCCGTCAAGTAGGTTGAGTTATGTGCTCCTTTGCCATCTTCTGCCTCTGTTGGTTAGGATACTAGGCCGTAGCATACTGCCTAGGACTAAAATGCTATTCATTAATACATGGCTTGCCTCTAAGATGTTTTTGGCCACAAAGCAGGTGGTGAAGGCATCCTCTGTTGTCTTTCCCAACTTTTGGTACTCAGTGACTCACTTCTATGCTGGGTGGATGGATAGCTAGCTAGCTAGACCATACGTCTTTGCAGGTACTACATTACTGATATTGTGCAGGAAATAGTTGATAGTCGAGACAAATTTGTCCTGTCTTTTTTGTTTTTTTAAGCCTTGTGACACAACTTGAAGTCATTTCTATAAATTGAGATAGGGAAGCTGTGGGCTTCCAGGTGTTCTTGTACAGCTTCCAACGTGTTAGTCCATTGGCCGTGGTGACTGGAGCTGATAGGATTTAAAATGCAGCAACATCAAGAAAGCCACAGTTGCCTGTTCCTGCCAGAAAATTCATTTATGCATAATGTGGGAAAATAGAGGAGGTTGACCCGGGTAATCTCTCGCAGCAAAACCGGAAAATTTGGATCTACCCTTACAGCCCAGTATTTTACATCTGGTGGAGTGGTGTGATGAACTGAGTTGCAGACAGCAAAACCCAATGCCTAGTGAAGCTTGCCACTCTAATCATAAGGCTCTCTGTTTTTTTTTTTGTGAAATGAGTTGCAGACAGCAAAACCCAATGCCTACTGAAGCTTGCCACTCTTTAATCATAAGGCTCTCTGTTCTTTTTGTGAAACAGATATTTACTTAGCCCTGAATTTAGTGTTGGTCGGGTTCATCGGGCAATCCAATCCAAAGTGGTTTTGGAAACAAGAGAAGGTGATAAAGTTGTTTGCCCATTCCTCCCACCTCATTTACAATTTCATAAATTTCTGACATGTTATTTCCATCCCCAATCCCCCGAAACTAAGAAGGCACAAGCAATTTAGCATTTCCAAGCAAGGATGGCAATCCAATCCAAAGTGGTTTTGGAAACGAGAAGGTGATAAAGTTGTTTGCCCATTCTTCCCACATCATTTACAATTTCATAAATTTCTAACATGTTATTTGTGTCCCCTCTCCCCCAAAACTAAGAAGGCACAAGCAATTTAGCCTTTCCAAGAAAGGACGGTTTCTCTTGATTAATTGCTCCCTTTCTGTATCTCTTTTGGCAAGACAGTCATGAAACAAAGCAGTGCAAAAGATCTAAAATTGCATCTGACCCCCCCTTTTTTGTTTACATTTTAAGGCATGTGCTCTTTTTAAACTGGAACAGCAGCGCTGGGGAAAAGAATGCTTAACATCCTCCGCTCTAAATTCTAATCCAAATTCTGTCTACCCTTTTCAAAGCTGCAAGACCTGCATTTTGGCTTAAAAAGAAAAAAGAAAGACATGTTCATGGATTATGACATGTACATTATGACATTTTGTTTTGTTTTGCTACAGGCATGGGAGCTTTAGAGCAGGGTAAATAGACCAGGAGCAAAACACCTCTCACATAGATTTAGAGAGAAGAAGAGACATAATCGATGACAACTAATTTTAAGGTTGTATGTGTGGAGTGTGGTGGAATTTAGGAATTTTCATAGTAGAACTAAAGCATCATATTGTTTTTGTCTTTTTGTTCTATAACATCCTTTGAAGTGTGTCACCCTAAACAATCGGTAATATATTCCAAATGCTACAGATAGAATCTGCTTTGTATGAATTTTTCATGCAAATAGAAATTTTAAAAAATGGACCACACATCTAGCAACGTTCTCTACTTCCTCCTCCATTTTACTTTTTGAAAAGGTACCCATATTAGTCTATCCTAGTATATTCCGCCAAAACAACAGAAAAATAAAAAACAAAGAAGATAAGAAGCTCACATTAAAATATAGTACATAGTTTTTAAGACACTGCTTTTTATATCTTCTTTATTTTACTTGGCAAAGTAGTTAAACTACTGTTCTGCAGCCAAAACTCACAACCCTGGGTTTAATCCCAGGTAGCTGGATCAAGGTTCACTTAGCCCTCCATCCTTCTGAGGTCAGTAAAAAGAGTACCCAGCTCACTGGGGGAACAATGTGTAGCCTGCATAATTAACTTGTAAACCTCCCAGAGAGTGCTTGAAGCGCCATGAGATGGTATATAAGCAGCATGCTTTGCTTTTGCTTTACTGTATCATTGTAGCCTATAAAAATATCCTTTTAAAGAAGATGTCTATGCCACTCACCAACTGGGAAAAATACCATAGTGGAGTACAAACTCTGTCGTACAAATGTGAACTACATGCAAATACAGAGGTCAGTAAAACAAAAGAAAGAAGGCTATAAAGACAGTATTAAGATAATCCAGCAGATGTCAAAAAAACCCATCACCTAGTGGACCACCTGGTTTAAAAGTTAATTTGCTTGTTTCCACAGTAACCCTTCTTTGTTGGCTGTAATGCACTCGGTGGGCCAAATAGCCCTGATCTTCCCTTTTCCTCTGTTTTAGCTGCCCATGAGCCCAGGAGAAGAGTGAGTACCACCAGCTGAACTGTCTATGTTCTTATGTTTACTTGGCAAGAGTCAGACTGTGTAGTTTCTTCCATTTAGGAAGCCTAAACGTGAGAAACTTTGATCCCCTTCCATGAATGAGTATGAAGAAGTTTTATTTCAGAACAGTGCAATGATTTCAGGTAGAAATCAGAAAAAGGACTTAAATGTTTGTTTTCAGACAATGGAGGCCTTAAAGACAACCTGCACTATGCTGGAAGAGCAGGTAATGGATCTGGAGGCTCTCAATGATGAACTCCTGGAGAAAGAGCGCCAGTGGGAAGCATGGAGAAGTGTTCTGGGGGATGAAAAGACTCAGTTTGAATGTCGGGTTCGTGAGCTGCAGAGGATGTTGGATACAGAAAAACAAAGCAGGTATGGGTATTGCGTGTACAGTGCAGGAGAACCGTGGAGAGAATTGCCCAGAGACCTTTCGTTCTAGAAATACAGTGGTGCCTCGCAAGATAATGTTAATTCGTTCCGCGAAAAACGCTGTCTTGCGAAAACATCGTCTTGTGAAACGCGGTTCCCCATTGGAATGCATTGAAATCTGTTTAATGCATTCTAATGGAAAAATCGTCATCTTGCGAAAATTGTCCATAGAAAACATTGTCTTGCAAAGCGCAACAGCGATCGCAAAAACCTATCGTCTTGCGGATTAATCGTCCCGCAAGGCAATCGTTTTGCAAGGCACCATTGTATTAAATATATAGTACATATTGGCTGGTAAGAAAGTTCTAGCCCAATAAACAGGTACATCAGGTAACTTCAGCTTTAGGAATGCTGTTTGCTGTTTCAGCATTTGCTGTCTTCGTTGATTGGCAGCTGTAGCTACTGGGTTCTGTTGTTTAAAATTTGGTACAGGCATTTCCTAGTATCTCAAATGGGATCTGGCTGGTGCTTCTGAGCCTGGCTAGAAAAACATTGGTCACCATCCGTTGTGCCTTAGTGATATCCAGGTTAAAGATATGCAGCATTCTCTTTGTAGGAATGATTCCCCGTGGAAGAGAGGACCTGACACAAGAAGGTTAACTCCTCCTTACTGAGAAGGCAGGACCAATACACGCTTCCTCTATTAAGTCTTTGAGGACAAAGTCTGTCGTCCGTCTTAAATCTGCCTTAGTTTTCAGGCTGTCAGAAACAGCCTCTGGAACAGGTTCATGAGCTGGCTTGTTTACTTGCACACTTGCTTGCTTTTCCTTCCGAAATCGTTCTTCTTTCTCTTCCCTTCCCAGCTTATTCCATCATGGATTAAGCTGCTGGATTCAAGGGGCGCGGGGTAAAGAGGTGACCTCCCATCGTTCTGAGCCAAGTCTTCCTACTTTCTTGTGCTTCTTGCCAGAAGAGCAGAAGGCCGTAGCACAGTCTTTTCCGGCCAAGGCCCATGAATTGTCATTATACCTGTTCAGCCTGGCATGTCGCAGATTGTGCAGCGGAGGGAGGATCTTCTGCATGACTGAGAACCCCTGCCAGTCTAAACTATTCCAGGCTGTTTGCCATGTCGGCCAGTGCAGGCAGGCTGTGGCTGTGTGTCTAGGGGAAGACGGTGGTTGACGTGGTCTCGATGGTTGACGTGGTCCTGTGATTGTGGACCACGTGGTCCTGTGACGTGGTCCTGTGATTGTGGACTCTGCCACCTGCCTGGTCTGCTGTGGCCTCATCAGGCAGCGATGCCCAAGGGCTCTGATGTTCCCCTGATATTTCAGGTTCTTCAGCATATAGACTGGTGGAAAGATAACTTCTGTCGCTCAATGGGAATTCTACTTCATAGGCCCACCAGAATTCAAATGACCACTAATACCAACTGATAGGAGTGAGGGCCTGTTTTCAGGGCACAGCGGCCCAGGATGTCTGGCCAAGGAAAACTGGGTCAAGCCTGTATCCGCTAGCTGCAACTGCAGGCAGCCCCTTTGGCATTCTAGCATTCTACAGGCAACGGGTTATTTCATATAATCTAGCCCCAGATCATAAAATGCTTTACTAGCAATGCTAGTTTGAAGTATGCGTGGAAACAAATCAGTTGCTGGGGAAGCTGTTGTAACAAAGGAGTGGCATGTTTCATGTCAAAAGCTCCTCTTGAAGTGTGGCCTCAGTATAAGGGCCCATACAAAGTTTTTGAATACTTTTCACAGACAGACTTGCCTAAAGTACATTAGTTTCAAAGAGCATATGGTGTCCACCTATATGGTGCGGCTTTACCTAATGTCTTCTCAACTAGGATGCATTCCTGTCCACAGCCAAGACCCAGGCATCCAGGAACAGGAATGAATCTAAAATTGCACCAAACGGACGATCCCATTTTTTTGTGCAGGCAGCACAGGCTAAATTGCTGTCACCTGGTTGGCTTTTCACCTGAAAAGAGTCCCGTTGCCATGCCTAGGTTTAGCTCCACCATTGTTTCCTCTCATTCGGTCTGTTACTGACATTAGCCTCTGTAATGGAAGAATAGCTTCATGGGGATGGGCAGCCCACGGCAGGATGGTCATTTAAGTCCAGCCCTGCTTATAATATAGACTGCTTCGAGCTACAGTTCCCTTTGGAGTAGCCATTTGTATAACAGAAACCCTAATTAGCTGCCAACTGTCTTATTCTGAATCACCATATGGTCCTAGGCTTTGATTCCAGCTTCTTATTGTGGCAACTTGGATCTCTCTCAGTGCAACAGACGTGCTTGTGTGTGTGTGTATCTGCCTGTGCGTATAAGCATGCTGCGGGGAGCATCATGATATAGGGATGATATTCTGAAATGATGACTTTGAAAGCCTGAAGCAGTCCTTTCCTGTTGAAAAAGGCAGTTTCAGAAAAGGGTACAAGGAAGTATGCTAATTATTTTTCATACAGGGTGCGAGCGGATCAGCGTATAACTGAGTCCCGCCAGGTGGTAGAGCTTGCTGTTAAAGAACATAAAGCAGAGATCTTGGCTCTCCAGCAAGCATTAAAGGAGCAAAAACTCAAAGCTGAAAGTCTGTCAGATAAGGTTGGTAACTTAATAGTTTCACACTTTTGCAGTGATTTGAGTTTAATGGGGGGAGGTTTTTTTTTTTTTTTAAACCCATCAGTTGTCCTTGTTTTCTAAGATGATGCCCCTGGTCAATTTGGTCTTTTGCCAAACAGCAGAATCAAAGAGAGAGGTCCCTGTCTGTGTGCCACTTGCAGTCTAAATTTTGGTATTGAGATACACCTGCACGTATCAAAAGCGGGTATAGGCGTATGAAGCTAGGCGTACTCTGACCTTTTTAACTAAGATGGGGAATCGAGGAGGTCAGAGGACACCTTCCTTGAAAAGTCAGGAGAAGGGAAGAAACTTGAAAGTGGAACTAAGGAGGCATAAGGGGCTCAGCAAGGGGGAAGGATGGAAGCCTTTGAAAGAATAGGACTGTTTAGATCAGTGGTGTCCAACCTTGGCCCTCCAGATGTTCTTAGACTACAGCTCCGAGAAGCCTTCACCACCACCTCTGCTGGCCAGGATTTCTGGGAGTTGAAGTCCAAGGTTGGACACCACTGGTTTAGATCACTTGAGAGAGATAGTACTGGTGATAAGCAAAATACTGCTTAAGAGAGGATTTCTGGGAGTTGAAGTCCAAGGTTGAACACCACTGGTTTAGATCACATGAGAGAGATAGTACTGGAAGAGTACTGGTGATAAGCAAAATACTGGTTAAGAGCATTTCATGCCTAATGTGTCTGTGCATCGGTGCTAAATATCTAGCTGAATGATTTGGAGAAGAAGCACGCCATGCTGGAGATGAATGCTCGCAGTCTGCAACAGAAGCTCGAGACAGAACGTGAACTCAAGCAGAGGCTTCTGGAAGAGGTAATATCCAGGCTACCATGAGATGCCATGTTCCTTTATAGAGAGGGTGTCACAGTTGTACCATGAATGTACCGGTTGTATAGTCATTCCATCATCCCTGGAGTCTCCTAAACATTGTGATTCTGAGAATTCGGGATGCAGTTGGGTTAGCTACAGGAAGAAAAGGCCTGATTAGATAAGTTCTACCAACACATTCTGCTTAATATGTTGAACAGTTCTGTGATCAAGCCTGGTAGGGGCCTCTGTTTTCCAAAGAGCCAAACACCAACATAGGACATTCAGAAGTCATAGCAGTAGTGACAGAATGGTTATAAGAGAATATAGTTTGCAGTTAAAAGAGGTGTTGAATCATTTAAAAAATTTCTGGATTTTTAAAACCTTATTTTATTTTATTATTTTTGATCTTCTTATCCACAGCAAGCAAAGCTGCAGCAGCAAATGGATTTGCAGAAGAACCATATATTCCGCCTGACTCAAGGCCTGCAAGAGGCTTTAGATAGAGCAGATCTTTTGAAGAATGAGAGGAGTGACCTGGAGTATCAGTTAGAAAATATCCAGGTGAGCAGAAAGCAACTGCTCTTGCATTCTTGATTTTTTTTTAAAATTCTGCTCTATATTTTGTAGAATTTCTATTGACTTTTTTTTTGTTTCAGTGGGCATCTGTCATAACACCTGATTTTTCGTTCCGTTTTTCTCATAATTCAAGGTTCTCTTTTCCCATGAAAAGGTGAAAATGGAAGGCACTATTTCACAGCAAACCAAGCTTATTGATTTTCTTCAATCGAAGATGGACCAGCCAGCCAAAAAGAAAAAAGTAAGCATAGCAGATAAATGGATTAACTACTGCCATTAAATATTTCCATATGGTGTAAAAATCTGTGTCTGTGGTTCAAAGAATTATCTGCTGCTAAGACCTCAAATCTCACTTGGTTTGGAGGTCCTTTGATGCTCCTGAAGTACCTTTTTTGCCTATCTCTCATGATTAATTTGTGATATTAAGCCATGCTAAATGACAAACATGCCCTAAAGTAAATGTTATAAAGACAGCATACAGTATTCAGCTGACTACTTGACCTCATAGCAGTCCTTCTCTGATCTAACCAGTTCGGAGCCATTGGGGAAAGTGTGTAGAAGTGGTTGCTCAGGATTGTTCGGCCCATTTTGATTAGGATCCTGAGAGAGCCTGATTAGTGAGAGGAGGCAGAGTAGAGATAACAGAAATCACTATCTGTCGAGGAGGATGACAAGCATAAATACCTCGGGAGGGAGGAACGTAACTTTTCCGCATCCCCTTCCCGATATCTTTCTTTACTGAGATAAGGACTGTGATCAGACCCTCTGGTCTGCAGTGAGTTGGACTTCCCTTCCCCTAGTTTAAACCACCACTTACTAGGAGTTAGGAGCTGTCTGTGTGTTTCTGTTGCTAGGGCCTGTTTAGTCGACGGAAAGAGGACCCTTCTTTACCCACACAGGTTCCTCTACAGTACAATGAGCTGAAGGTGGCCCTGGAGAAAGAGAAAGCCCGCTCGGCCGAGCTGGAGGAGGCCCTTCAGAAAACCCGCATTGAGCTCAGATCTGCGCGCGAGGAAGGTAGGGGCTGGCTGCTGAAAAGTTGCATCTGAAGAGGAGGGTCGTTTTTAGTCCAAACCCGTGTCTCATATTTTTGTGTCTTCTGTAGCGGTGCAGTGTTTCTTCTCCTCTTCCCCCTCCCCTTGTTTGCTGTTGAGGATCCAAAATAGCAACACCCCCTCGCTGCAGGCTGTAACTCTTAAGGTTACGGTAGAAACCGCGGCTGCTCCTCGTCCCAGGAGGAGTCGACTAACTATTTATGTGTATCTGTAGCTGCCCATAGGAAAATTACAGACCACCCTCACCCATCCACTCCTGCCACGGCCAGGCAGCAGATCATCATGTCTGCCATAGTCCGGTCACCAGAACACCAGCCCACGCCCATCAGTCTGCTTGCGCCTCCCTCAAGTCGCAGAAAGGAGTCTTCCACACCAGAGGGTAAGGCTTCGAGGGGTGGGGTGGGGGGTGAAGGGTATCTTACACAGAACAGCTCGCCCATCCTTGATTCTCACCCCATACCCAGTTTTCATGCAGGCCTATGGTAGCCAAGCATGGCAGGTGGGGTCTCATAGACTTTTTAAAGAAGGAATAAGAAAGAGAGAGAGAATAAACATGTAGAAGTAGGGATGTTTCCTGCTCAATGCATCCTTTTGGGTTGTGATCAAAGCCATAAACTGGCACTATTCTATTATTCCAATTTTCTGAAATTCTGATTCCGCTAGTAAGATTGTTTTGGCAACGGTGTGAAATCTGCCTTGAACTTTTTTTAAAAGTGAATCTGAACCACTTCATGCAATGGTTGTTGGATCAGTGATCCAGTGCTTTATTTCCTGATGGACAGATTGATGGATAGATTTGAAAAAGCTTAATTTCTCCTTGAAGATTTCCTGGCCTCCTTTGGCTTAGCCATGTGGAGGAGCATAGCCTGAGAGGATCTAGTGGTCTGGGAAGATGATCTTAGGGAAAGAAGCTCCAACAGATAATGTGGCCCCAAGTCATAGGTTAGCATTAGTACCTTGTACCTGACCCAGGATGCAACTGGAAACAAGTTGCCATGTGGAGGAGCATAGCCTGAGAGGATTTAGTGGTCTGGGAAGATGATCTTATGGAAAGAAGCTCCAACAGTCCCACGTCATTAGTACCTTGTACCTGACCCAGGGTGCAACTGGAAACAAATGTAAGTGAGCCAGGACTGGGGAGTTGTGATCAAATCTGGCTCACAGCTGCCACCAGCCTGACTGCCACATTTTGGACTGCTGCAGGTTCAGGTTAATCTCAAAAGAAGCCCCACGTAGAGAGCATTGTTGTCAATGCCAATTACATTTCACCTTTCTAAATATTGAATATCTAATTTACTCTAAATAAATGGAAAAATAACACTGACAAACACCAAGGACTGCAATCTGTTCCTTCCCAGGACCTTCTCAGAATAAGGTAGTTTCTTTTTCTGCAGCAAATTCGCTTTTGTGTAGTTTTATTTTCCAGTAGCAGATTGATACTAGCTCTGTTCACACATCTGCCTAAATTCATGGAAAGTCAGGCTTGAAATAACAAGAACTTTAACTGAGCTGTTCATAGTTTAGTTGCCTTTGATTCTAGTTGGAACAAAAATTGTATTTGTTTCTACTTGGGAAAGAAAAAGAATATGAAGGAAGAGGGATTTTTTTGGTGACATCTGGTTTGGTTGGAACAGCTGTCACTAGGATACCTTTTAGACTTTGTTCACTGAGGATTATGGGAATGTTGAGGCACAGGATAAGCTGAGGAGTTAATAACAAGTCACTTATACTTTGATTATCTTTACCCTGGAATATGCAAGAAACATCATTTTACTGCCTTTTTGGAAATATGCAAACAATCAAAAAGTAACTCCACTGGAGTATCTGATCTTTTTTTATTGTTGAAATCAGATTGGTGCAGGGCTAGAATCCTTAGGACTTTAGTAGTGATCTGATGATTGCTGTAGGTTTTTCGGGCTGACTGGCCGCGTTCTGGAGGTTTTTCTTCCTAACGTTTTGCCAGTCTCTGTGGCCGGCACCTTCAGGAGACAGGAGGCAGAATTCTGTCTGTGTTCTGGTCTGTGTTCTAACTCCTGTCCTCTGAAGATGCCGGTCACAGAGACTGGCGAAACGTTAAGAAGAAAAACCTCCAAAACACAGCCAAACAGCCCCCCAAAAAACCTTCAACAACCATTAATAGTGATTCTCTGATACACCCGGGGGTGTATTTCCACATTCCTGATATTTTATGCAAAATGAGAATTCTCACATTTCCACTCGTTAGAACAAATCAAGTGCATGGAAGGGTTATTCCCATTTAAACATCAGAGCTCTGAGTCCCTTCTCCTCTTGCCTAGAATAGGTAGCTTCATCCGAGTGCCATCTTTTTCGTAGCTTTCAAGGAATCCATTCTGGGGCAGCCCTAAGCGCCCTCCATGGTCTCCCTTGATTGTCCATTCTGGGAACCAGAGAAAGGGACCAGTGTTAGACAAGCTGTCCCTCAACTTCAGATTTTCATTCGTACTAAAGAAGATAGTGCTCTGTAGCATCCTTCATCCCCTCCCCTTTCCGGTTGCCAACCAAAGGGTCAGACAAGAGGCCTTCCACCCTTTGTCTATTATTTCACAGCCGCTGATGTGCAGGGGGAAGGCACCCTCTGATCCTGGAGGTCACATCCAGCGGTGTGTTCTCTTTGGCTTCCCTAGAGCAGACCAGGGCAAAGTGCGGCCCGAGGGCCACATACGGCCCGCGAGCCGCTCCTGTCCAGCCCGCAGACAGTTTTGAACATCACAACCATTTATAGCTTTTTGTCCAAAGTTGATCAGTTGCTTACCTTTACCATGCCACAAAAAAACCTCTTTAGTATTTGTGAAGATTAACAATTTAAAATAAAAACAATCATGACATCACTGTTTCATTTTATTTTTAAGTAAAGTTGGTTTGGCCCCCGATCACAGTTCATATTTTTCATGTGCCCCCCCATAGAAATTAATTGCCCACCCCTGCCCTAGAGCCAGTTGGGCTAATCCCTGTGCCCATATAGAGTGCCACATTCAAGACCCTCCATGGACAGCTATCAACTCTCCGATGTGTTTGATTTCTCAGTGTTTTCTCTGTAGTGGTTGCTGTCATTTTATGAATGTTTGAAGTACAGCCTGTCCACTTTTAGTGTAGGTCTGTCCCTGTATTTGTCCATGTGAATTAAGTCATGTGGTCTAGAGCTGGTGTACAGTTGTGCTAAAGAGTATGAATTGGGAAAGTCTGCGGTTTTAAAATCTCTCTCCTGTTATGAGTTCTTTGTGTTGCTTTTCAAACAGTTCTGTCTCTTAGCCTCAGACCACCTGCTCCCTGCAGTACGGTGCTAACACTGGCTACCTCACAGGATTTATAAGGATTATTGGATAATTATATGGAATGCTTTGAACCTTTAAATCTTAACAGAAATGCTAATTATTATTTTATCTGAAACTGGCTGGCATGTAATGTTAATTCCAGTGTGCCACAACTAATTTTTTTTTGCATATTAGCTTTCCCACCAAACTCTGTGGTGTGTGTGTGTGTGTGTGTGTACATATTCTCTCTCTCTTCTCTCTCTCTCTCTCTCTCTCTCAAGTGAACGGCAGAGCTGTTTGAGTCTTAACATTGTTCAATCAGCACCTCTTTTTACTCTACATCGACTTACTTTTTTATTAACTGTAGAACCAGTGTACTCTCACTTCCAGTCCAAACTATGATGGAAATGACTTTCAGTGCGTAATTAGGCATCCCTGTTTAAATAACTGCTGTTATATTAAAAGTCATATTGGCTTAAAGGTGGAACACATCTTGTTTAAATTCAAGTTAAGCACCTTTGTTTGCAGTGGCCTTAACGGTCGTGGCCATGCATCCAGAAATAAAAGTGAAATGGGGAAGGCACATGGGTCGGGCGTAGGGACCTGGCTGAATCTCCAGCCCCTGCAGCTCATACTGTTCGGTAGACAGGGATGGGAAGGTCTTCTTTCTGAGTCCCTGAACTGCCAGTCAGAACAGGCAAGATTTAATTAGATGGACTGAGAGTCTGACCCAGTATGAAGCAACCTCATAGACGTACTAAATGCTGCTTATAACATGGGTAAGCCCCATTTGGTACCAAATCTCTATGTTGCTTCCACCACTAGTGTTGTACAGAGCTGCAATTAAGTAATATGGGTCCCTTGTTGGGAGAAATGTGAATAATAATAATAATAATAATAATAATAATAATAATGCATACCTGCATACCTACCTACGTACGTACCTACCTACCTACCCTGGGCTTATATGGTCTCTGGCTGGGAATGTTTTTTAAAAGGCCACATATTACGTCTTGTTAGAATCTGGTAAGTTAGCACCACATCCTGTTCAAGTGGGTGCTGGACTTCCACTCTAATGGCTATGCTAGTATGCATTTACCATGAGGACTGTTTAAAGTTACTTCTTCATGTATAGTCTTTTGGATAGTGCCCATCTAGGCTTGTGGGAATAAAGGCTGATGGTTATCATGCTCTTTTTAAAAAAGGCTCCTACTCACTTCTTTCTGTAGAATTTAATCGGCGTATGAAGGAAAGGATGCACCATAATATTCCTCACCGGTTCAATGTGGGATTGAATATGAGAGCAACAAAATGTGCAGTTTGCTTGGATACGGTGCATTTTGGACGTCAAGCATCTAAATGTCTTGGTAAGAATAAAAGACAGAATAGGAGTCAGAAGGGCTCTACCGGATGAGCAACAGCAGCTAACAGGGTGTCACTAATCTAGCAATCAAGGAGAACAGGCACATGTCTGCCTTTTCCTTATGCTGTAAGGGAGGTCTGGATGAGTATAAATGAATTGCATTGCACTGCTGAAGAAAAGGACAGAAACTGTATTCCACAGATCATCTCTGCCAATAGGGGCTTCCAAAGATTTCACTTTACAATTATGTCAAAGAGATCCTTCTCTTTGTCAGATCTGTCTGATATGCAGGCTGGAGCTGAATTACCTTATTTATTATTCTATATCCACAGTAAACACTTTCTCAATTACTGAGAAATGCTTTAAACTTCATGAATAGAGCTAGTCATTCTTTATTCATGAAGGCATTGCTTTTCTTCTTACGTGGCCAGAATACAACTGAGTCATACAAATATAAGCTAGAAAACACAGCTTGTTCTTATTTTTCTCCATGTTGTGGTTACCTTCTTAGAAAGAGTGGGGCATCCTATATTGGCCAGAATACAACTGAGTCATACAAATAGAAACTAGAAAACACAGCTTGTTCTTATTTTTCCCCATGTGGTTACCTTCTTAGAAAGAGTGGGGCGTCCTATACAGCTGGGAGTTCTAGAACTTGTGGATAATATCATAACGGCTCCCCAATCTCAGATGTTATAGGTAAAATCTGTTGGGCTGAATGCAGAGGATTTTTATCTTGGATAATAAATTTGAAATAAGTTCTAGCTGTTGTTCCTTACAGAGGCATCTCACCCTCAGTAATTACAGTACAGTGGTGCCCCGCATAGCGACGATAATCCATGCAGCAAAAATCTCTGCAAAGCTATTTCGTCGCTATGCGGTTTAAAAAAGCCCATAGGAATGCATTGAAACCCCTTCAGTGCGTTCCTATGGGCTTAAAACTCACCTTTAAGCGAAAATCCACCATACAAAGGCCATTTTCACTGCCCGGTAAGCGAGGAATCCAGGCGAAAACACAGCAGGCGGCCATTTTTTAATCCGGTGGCCATTTTGGAAAATCATCACTATGCGATAATTGGTAAGTGAAACGGTATTGATCATTGCAAAGCGATTTTTTCCTATTTAAATCATCGCAATGCAATCACTTTTGCGATCGCAAAAACTTCATCGCTATGCGGATTCGTCGTTAAACGGGCCGCCCGTTAAGCAAGGCACCACTGTATTTCTCGAAATAGCTTTATGAAGTTACCTGCTTCTTCAGTCTGATATTTTTAAATGTTTGAGGAGCACAGTTTGTCTTCGGTTATTACCAGATGGGCCACTTTGTTGTTCCTCTCAGGCATCCTCCTTTCTTCCTTTCAGAATGCCAGATGATGTGCCATCCAAAATGTTCAGCCTGCTTGCCAGCAACCTGTGGCTTACCTGCAGAGTACGCCACACATTTCTCGGAAGCCTTCTGCCGAGACAAACTGAACTCCCCGGGTCTGCAGCTGAAAGAACCAAGCAGCTCTCTGCGGCTGGAAGGCTGGATGAAGGTGCCAAGGTACACACGTGAGTCTCTGCCCTGGAACACAACCGCCCCGCAGCTGCAAGAGGAGCTGCTGCCTAGAATTTGGTTGACCGTGGAGGCCATTTCTCATGTTGCTGGTGATATTCCTTAGGACTGGCTGACTATGAGATTCAGAACCTTGGACAGAGCCTCTAATACAATGTTGCCCTTTCTTTGTGTTTTCAGAAATAATAAGCGTGGGCAGCAAGGCTGGGACAGGAAGTACATTGTTCTAGAAGGAACGAAAGTGCTTGTTTATGACACAGAAGCAAGAGAAGGTAACCTTGACATCCGATTAACTTTTTGACGAGGCCTAACCTTTACTATTGATTACCTTTCTTGTCTCCTCTGACGTGGTCCTTCAGTCCATCCCCTTGTTAGAACAAGAGCACTGATCTTTTGTGAGCAGAGTCAGCTGCAGCAGAGTTAACAGACAAATTTGGCCGTCCAGATGTCTAAATGGTTAGAAAAGCATGCCTCGCCTGTGCAAAGAAATCACTTTCAGGCTTCCTCCTCTTCTTGGAAAATAAGAAAGCTAGAATTTATCAGAGAATGACATTGAGATAACAAAGATAAGAGGCATCCTAGTTTTAATTAACTCAAAGGGAGACACAGAGAGCCACGAGTGCCCTTTGCCTTTTGGGTACAAATACAAGATGCCTCCTCTGTCTTTAAGAGAGAAGTTGAGAGAAATAATAGGAGGAAAGGAAAGGAAAGGAAGCAACTTTTAATAGTCTTTGTAGCAGGAAGGTCAGCAGAGATCAGTCGAAGGAAAAGACTATCAAGAGACCCCACCGAGGACCTTCCTACACATGCCAATGCGTGCCTCTTTCTTGCAAACTCGATTGAACCTATCACTCCCCACCAGCTTTGTGGAAGCTGGCTTCATATACTGATACACTCCTTTTCAAATATCTCATTAGGCTCAGAGGCACTTGCACCTCCAACATATAACCCATTTAATAAAAGGATCTGAGAGCATTTGGCACGTATAAATATGGGTGCTGGGTGCTGGAGCAGAGGGAAAGCTGGCAAGTTTATAACATGTTCTGTGCAACTGATCGCTCATGGGGAAGATCATTGGTTAGAAATAAGCTACTGTTTCGGAGAAACTTCTGTTCCATTACTGACTTTTTCACTGAGGAATCCTCAGAGTCCTCTCTTCCCCTGGCACCTGCCAGCACAGATTTAAGATTAAGTCTTAACACGTGAAGTGTTTTTTTCCCTACATTTCTTGTGTTTGCTCACAACCTTATTACTTGCCTGTACATTCATTTCCTCTCTATGTTTGTCTCATGTTTTTTTTTTTTTTAATCTTTGCCCAAGCTGGACAGAGGCCTGTGGAAGAGTTTGAGCTGTGTCTTCCAGATGGGGATGTTACTGTCCATGGAGCTGTTGGAGCAACTGAACTTTTAAATACAGCTAAGACAGGTAGGAGAAGTTGCAGTTCTACTGATCTCTTAAGAAACTGTCTACAGACAAATGCTGGCTCTACAGCTTGGAGACAGGGATGAGCACTGCACCCTAGAGTCGGACACGACTGGAACCTTTACCTATATATTATATCCCAGCATCCTTCAAGGCAGACATGACAAAGGAAAGGCCACTAATAGACAAAGAGATGAAAGTTAAAAGGTAACAGGGTTCATGGAAGGAAGAGACACAGCAGTAGTGATGACCTGCAACGTGTGTGCCATGTTTGTCTTCATGCTTAAGAACAAGGCAGCGTACAATATGCATCATGAGCAAATTGGTAGCACTATCAGAAGAAAAAGTGAAAGGGTTGGAGCACTGAGTAGACAGGTTTAAGGCTAAAGATGTAGAGTACAGAGACAGAACCCTTGAGCATCAGCAGCCAACAGAGGAACTGGAGGTGGAAGAACAGCAAGACAAAGCAGAGGAGGAGAATGCTTGAGGCATTCAAGAGAAAATTAGGCAACCATCGGACAGATTTACTTTGGTTAGGATTCCTGCATGGAGCAGGAGTTGGACTTGGTGACCTTATGGGACCACTGCAAGTCCATTCTTCTATGTTTTTTTTAGTGGAAGAGAAAAAGAATGGCAAACTTTGCATTTTCGTGCAGTTCTTCTATGGTTTTTTTTAGTGGAAGAGGGAAAAAATGGCAAAATTTGCATTTTCATGCAGTAAATGTACAAGGGTCAATAGTCAATGTATGTATTTTGCAGAAACATATATAGCGTGTGCATGCAGTGGAGCAATGTCAGAAGAATAGCTGTGTTTGCCCTTAGTAGCCAGGGCAGTGAAGAAGTCTTGTGACACCTTAAAGACTAATAAGTATGTTGTGGTCAGACTTCCAGGCATCTCGTGAACTGGACTGTACAAAGAGCAGAGTCTGGTTCTTCCTTTTGCTTGCCTTTTGGCTTTTCCTTTGGGGGAGCTTAAAGAGTAGCATTCTTGAAGCAGGATGGACAAGGTTGGAGGTGATTATAAGAAATTTTCATTGGTACAGAGTATCAAATCAGGGACCAGTTTTTATTCTGAATTGACCCAGAAAACCTCCACAGGAAAAAAATGCTGATTCAGCCTGGATGCCGCAGCTCAAAGTTCTATATAGCATCCAAGTGAATCAGCTTTGTCTTGGGCGTGACAAGGAAATGCATTTACTCATTCACAGCCTTCACTTCAATAAGGAGTGAGGGCTAGGGGAGAAGAAACAGGCTTCAAGCAACGTGTGAGTTTATGAGGAGCACATCTTGTGCAGCCCAAGAAGAAATGATTGCTCATTCCAGTGAGTGTCTTGTCTATCTTTTGGCAACTGTGCTTGTTTCTTGTTTTGATCATAGGAGTCTTTGGGCCAGAGAACAAAAATAGCATCTTTTCCCCTCCTGTTAGAGAGTTCCTATTTATAAGGTTCTTTTGATCTGAATATATTTTCCTCTGATGTGTGTGCTCTTTTTGGTGCTAATTCTGCAGATGTTTTTTCTGTTGCATGACTTTGGAAGCATGTCGTTTGAGCTGGAGATAAAGTAGTCAAAGCTCGGAATAGTTTAACTGTTTGGGTTTACAATTCCCAGAATCCTCAGCTGCCATTGCCTTTGAGGAATTTGGTGAGTTGTGGTCCAGCACATGTGTGTGTGTATGTGTGTGCGCATGCATGCACACACACACAGAGAAAGCAACCTTGCAATTTATTGCATAATCTGTTTACAAGTTGCAGTACAGCTTTGCTTGGTTTACAAGTTGCAGTACAGCTCTACAAATTGCAGTACTGATTATACTATAGGGCCTAATTAGAGGCCCTAAGTATAATCAGTTTTGAGCATTTCAACAGCACATAGTCTAAAAGTGGAGAAATGGTTCCACAAAGAGCCTAATATATTTCATAATCTTGTTTTTGTATTTTGTTTGGTAACGAACCAGATGTGCCATATATATTAAAGCTGGAGTCTCATCCTCACACCACCTGTTGGCCTGGCCGGACCCTCTATTTACTAGCACCCACTTTTCCTGATAAACAACGCTGGGTCAGTGCACTAGAGTCCATTGTTGCTGGAGGACGAGTTTCCAGAGAAAAGGCCGAAGCTGATGCTGTAAGTATAAATGGAACAGTGGGTGGAGGGTTAGGGTGTGGCCTTTTTTATATCCTTGTTCGGTTTTCATTTAAAAAGAAAGTGTTTGAGCCTTTTACTAAAATCACAAGAAGAAAGGTAAAATATAAACAGTCATGTGACAAACAAAGTACACCCTTTTTGAATTCTATGGTTTTTATGTATCAGGACATAAAAATAATCTGGTCCTTAGCAGGTCTGAAAATTAGGTAAATTCAACCTCAAATGAAAAACAACACGTTACATATTACACTGTGTTGTGATTTATTTAACAAAAATAAAGCCAAAATGGAGAAGTCTACAGTGAGAATGATTATTCACAAGAGGAAAACATTCCAGACAGTTGCCAGTCTTCCCAGGGGTGGACATCCAAGCGAACTCACTCTGAGGTCAGACCACAATAGTCAGAAAAATTGCAAAAAATCCTAGAGTCACATTCCAGACTACAGGCCTCGGTTAGCATGTGAAACGTTAAAGTTCACAACAGTGCAATTAGAAAAAGACTGAACAAGTATGGTTTGTTTGGAAGGGTTGCCAGGAGAAAGCCTCTTCTCTCTAAAAAGAACATGGCAGCATAGCCCAGGTTTGCCAAGTTGCATCCAGACAAGCCACAAGACTTCTGGAACAACATCCTTTGGACAGACGAGACAAAAATGGAGAGGTTTGGCCATAACGCACAGCGCCATGTTTGGCAAAAACCAAACACAGCATATCAGCACAAACACCTCCTACCAACAGTCAAGCATGGTAGCGGAGGGGTGATAATTTGGGCTTGTTTTGCACAGGACCTGGGCACCTTGCAGTCTTTGAGTTGACCATGAATCCTCAGTATACCAAAGTATTCTAGAGTCAAAGGGGAGGCCATTTGTCCGACAGCTAAAGCTTGGCCAAAGCTGGGTCGTGCAACAGGACAAGGATCCCAAGCACACCAGCAAATTTACAACAAAATGGCAGAAAAAGAAAAGGATCAAGGTGTTGGCTATGGCCCAGTCCAAGTCCAGACCTCAACCTGATTGAAATGCTGTGATGGGAGCTTACGAGAGCTAAAGCATGCTGCTTATATACCGCCCTATAGTACTTAAAGGACTCGCTAAGCAGTTTACAAATTAATTATGCAGGCTACACATTGCCCGTCCCCTCCACAAGCTGGGTACTCATTTTACCAACCTCGGAAGGATAGAAGGCTGAGTCAACCTTGAGCTGGCTACCTGGGATTTAACTCCAGGTCGTGAGCAAAGCACAGTGGTTAATCCTATCCATTTGGTCAGGAGATTAGAAAAGATACTTTTTCGGATTTCAGCTCCCAGAACGCTTGCTGGCTAGGGGATTGTGGGAGCGGTAGTCATAAAAAAGTGACTTTTCTGAGCTCTGCTTCCCTCTTTCCACATTCTAGATAATTGGTACAAGTCTTCTGGGGTGATTAAGACCACTTGAGTGCTGACAAATATAGTTAACATTTAATTAGAGTTGCCTTAATTAAAATACACAGTAGCTGGTTTCAGACATTCCCTGTTCCTTATTGATTTACAGTCTACCTCCCAAGCATATGCATAAATGCTCTCTGCTTACACTCCACAAAATTCCTGACCAGGCTCTGAGTGTATAATAATGCTGTAGCTCTGGTCTCAAGGGACTAATATAGAACTATGTTATTAAAAGATTAACTTTGAGCTTTGCGATGTAATTTTATCAGTAAGAGGTGGAAGCCTACTCGCCATGTGTACATAGAATACACATACCAGCTCTTCCAGTCTTGTTCAGGGGTGAAGTGCTCTTTTGGCTTGCAGTAGAAGACATTCACCAGATCTTCTGTCCTTGTGTAAAGCTATGCCCCTGTCTCCCTTAGAGTGCAAATGAGATACGGAAGGCTAGGGAAGCAGCTTGCATCATTCAGAGACAAAAAGAAAATTGACTTTTAATTTGAGGGACTGCATGTGTGTCCCTTGGAGAGCAATAGTGGAGAGAAGCTGATGTCACGTTGCAGCAGAAAACCCACCACCCGATCCCCAAAGCACTTCCCTCAACAACCTACTGATGCTAGTGATGCCTTTGAGTTTTCCTTACAAAAACCCATTCCTCACAACTGCCCCCGGGTGGCTGGGAAGGCAGATGTGTGCTCAGTGCTACTAAGCACTGGCTGGAAGGGCTGTGTTTGTGTTTTTTTACTTTTGCAGCCTACGGGAGTGGAGGCCCCCGGTGAGAGCCATCCTCTAGATTTCACTCCAGAAGCATTTTTATACTGCTGTTTTCAGGAGAAAGAGGACGAGCAGCCTTGACATTTTTGTCAGCTGTGCAGAGATTGAGTCACATTTTGGGATCATGGTGAAGCAGGATAGAGATCATCTGTGGGATTACACAGGAGCTGACTAAGTTCCCACTGATCTAGTGGGTCTCTTATTTGGGAAGCAGGATGGGATTTCAGTCAAAGAGAACAGGGCACTTTTGTAGTTCTTAATACTGAATTATCTATATTCTTTGCCTTTTTTCAAGTGATGCTTTTGGCAAATATGCCTACTCACTTTAAGGCTAAAGCAGTTTGCATTGTTGTTGCGATTATCGTGTTGTTGCACTGCATTCATCCTTTCTCTCTGTGTGTGTCTCCCTCCTGCCCTTGTATGTACAGAAGTTACTTGGCAATTCTCTCCTGAAGCTTGAGGGAGAAGATCGTTTGGATATCAATTGCACCTTACCTTTCAGTGATCAGGTAAATGGGGTCGTGCTGCATCTTGCTTGGCCAAACCGAACATCAAGCTGTTGGATTTATTAAGGGGTATCTGATTGGCTTTTGGATTTCTCTGCAACATTTTCTTTTGCCGTTGCGTTGGCGATCTTCATGCATGTCTTAAGCACTCCTGCAGCCTCTTCCGTGTACCTTTGACAAACGGATTTGTAAACCCCTTTTGTAGGTAGTGCTGGTGGGTGCCGAGGAAGGTCTTTATGCCCTGAATGTGCTGAAGAACTCTTTAACGCACGTCCCTGGAATTGGTGCAGTCTTCCAAGTGCATCTCATTAAGGATCTGGAGAAACTGCTCATGATAGCAGGTAGTTTTCAGGAAAGCATGCAGTGTGTCTTAAGAGAAGACACATCATTTGCTGGTGGATTTTCCCCACCACCCTCTCACTGCTGGGACTCTTATTCTGGGCTTTTGAGGCTTCACCAGGCAATCCATTCCACATGTGGGCTGGAAGAGTGTGTTTTTTCTTCTTCCAAGAAATGGAAAGAAAGCTGAGATCATCCACCTGGTTTCCATGCATCAGTAAGCCTGGGTGCCAAACAGTACTGCTTGTCTCATTAACATGCAGTGCATTTAGGAATGCTGATCAATCTTTTGTTCAGCAGGTGTGAGTGTCTAAACAAATTATGGGCTTCAAGCTTTGAATGTATCTGGTTTGCTTACTGTGACACACAAGAATGTTGGCTTATCTGTCCTCTAGCAAACCAGAACCAGAACAAAACGAACAGGCCATGGCTTACAGTTCTGTGGCTTGTTAGGAGATAGGATAAGCAAGAACTTTCCATCTCCTACTTGCAAGAATCAAGATGCATAAACATGCCCTCTAATAATTCCTGTGGTCAGTACTGCATTCTGTTCATGTGACATTTCTGCACTCCAGTAAAATCAGAGTGTCTATAGCCCTCTTTTGCTTTTTTTTCCTCTAGAACTGCATATGGAATTTATTATCCTTCTGTTCAAAATAATCTACTTTTGCAATACTTTTCTGTACCTTCCCAGAAGGCATAAAAATAAAAGTGTTGAATTATCCATATCATCTTCAGATACGGTTCTTCCAGCCATCTAAATTTCTTCTGATTAATAACAAGTTCCAGGACAGTGTAGACATAAAGTGCTTTGTGGCACTAAATCATAATGATACAGTAGAATCAGTCTGTCTCTCTTGTATACGCTGGGGCTGGGGGAGGGGGAAGATTTGGTCTCTGTTATTTTGTTTTTCGTCTTGTGTTCCTGTTGAGAGATATTCTGGTCTTCTGAGATGACAGGGTTATTCATTGTGTGTGTTCCTCAGGCGATGAGAGGGCCCTGTGTCTTGTTGACGTTAAGAAAGTGAAGCAGTCTCTAGCCCAATCCCACCTCCCTGCTCAGCCTGATGTCTCCCCAAATGTTTTTGAAGCTGTGAAGGGGTGCCACCTTTTTGCTGCTGGCAAGGTAAGACCTCCAGGCTCTCTCTTAGATGGTAAATGGAAGCTATCTCTGAAACATCAGGTGTGATTATCAAAGGAGTTTTCAAGCCCCACCTCAAGAGGTCATCCATCAGCTATTTAGTTAATACATTTTTTCTCACTGCCCTTTCAGAGCAATGTACAGCATAAAACCAACGTGAAAAGCAGGACAGGGAGGCAGTCCTCACATAAGGAATGTCCAGCAGAAATCGCTTAGCGACGGAGTTTTTGCGATTGCAAAAGCGATCGCTTTGCGATGGTCCCTATGGGTTTTTTTCGCTTTGCAATGATCACAGGGAAGCGATCATGGCAAAGCGACCCTTTTTTAACAGCTGATCGGTGGTTTCAAATAGCCGTCGGGAAAACAAAATGGCCGCCTGCTGTTTTTTCTTGCTTAAGAGGCAGCGAAAATGGCAGCGCTATGGAGGATTTTCACTTAAAGGTGAGGTTTTAAGTCCATAGGAACGCATTAATCGCGTTTTAATGCGTTTCTATGGGCTTTTTAATTTCGCTTAGCGATGTTTTCACTTAGCAACGTTTTTTCCGGAACGGATTAACGTCACTAAGTTAATGTATTCCTGTATTCCTTTAAGATGTATGTAGAAGAAGCCTGGAGAGCTTGGATCATCTGTTTCTGACTGGTGTTGATGGCAGCAAAATATGAGTCATTGATAGCAAGTGGATTTTAAATGAGAAGTTTAATTTCAAACTGTCCCCTCCGAATTCCTTTATTTCTTTAAAACGTTTATAGCCTATCTTATATTGCAAGATTTAACAGCGGGTTACAGAGTCATATAAGAGAAGTTAAAAACAAAACTCTTTAATACAGTTAGAAATTCAAACCTTAAAACCAGTGCACTAGAACTTATGCAGGCCAAGACTCTCAATTTCTGGAGGCTCTAACAGGGAAACATGTTTTGACTTGGTGCCAAAATGATGCCACTGTTAGTGCCAGTTGAACCACCAAGGGAAGGGCATTCTGCAGTCAGGATGTGACATTCAAGAAGGCCCTCCCTTGTACCTCCACAGAATGTACAGGTCTCAATGGTGGGAAGTAAAAGAGGACCTTCCCAGCAGCTCTTAGTGACTGAACAGGTTTATATGTAGGGGGAGGCGTTCCTTAAAATATCGAGGTCTCAGACTATTTTGGGCTTTGTAGGTCACGGTCCACTCCTTGAACTCAGAACAAAACCACTTTGGCAGCCAGTGCAAATCCTTCAGAATCCGTGTCCTGTGAACGCCAAAAACAGACACTCCTGTTAGCGGTCTAGCTGCTACCTATTGCACGTGCTGCAGCATCGGTGTCGTCCTCAATGGTAGCCCCATGTAGAGTGCATTGCGGTAGTCTAACTGAGAGGTTACCAGGGCAGAGACTACTGTGGCCAGGTTGTTCCTCTCCAGGAATGGTCAAAGCTGGTGGACCAGTCAAGCCATTCTGAGGCACTCCGGGCCAGTGAACTCATGTGAGCCTCCAATGGCAAAGATGAACTTAGGAGTGCCTCCCCAACAATGCCCCTGCTCCTTCAGAGAGAGCGCGGCTCTTTCCAGGACACCTCACCTGCTCACCTCCTGGACCTGGGGAACTACTGAGCTTGTTGGGATTCGCCTACGATTTTTTGGCTCTCCTCCAGCCTATCACAGCCTCCAGGCTGTTCAGCACCTGCACAGCCTCAGCCAGTCCCAATGATAATGAGAAACAGAGCTGAGTGTTTTGACGGCACTCAAACCCGGTACTCTTTATGACCTCTCCCAGTGGCTTCATACAGATATTAAACAGCATGGGAGATAGAATGGAACCCTGTGGCTCCCCACAGCTTAATCGTCGTGGGGCTGAACAGAAGTGTCCCCCCCTCCCCACAAGCTGCCTCTTGAAACCAGTTCTGCAGATAGAATGGAACCCCTGCAATACAGTGTCTCCCATTCCTGTTTCACAGAGCTTGCTGAAGATGATTTTTATTTTATTTATTTATTGCATTTATACCCCACCCATCTAGTTAGTTGACTACTCTGGGCGGCTTCCAACATATATAATAACAATATAAAATATAACAGAATTTTAGACATCAGTAGATGAGTTATTCAAGATGGAAAAAGATACAAAAGAAAAAAATCAAGTACTAACTGAAGGGAAAGCCTGCCTAAACATCCAAGTTTTCAATTGGTTTTTAAAGATGCTCAGCAAAGGGGCCGCACAAATCTCCGGAGGAAGATTATTCCAGAGGTGAGGCGCTACCACCGAGAAGGGCCAGTTTCTTGTTTTTTCCCTTCCGGCCCTCCCTCGGTGTCAGGCTTCTCAGCCTCACCTCCTGACTCGATCGGGTGATACGGGTAGATTTTGGTGGGAGCAGGTGTTCCACCAAGTATCGAGGCCTGCTTTGGCAGCCAGTATACTTTCTCAACCAAGTATAGGAACAAACATGGATACCGTGATCCAAGAGGATGCAGTGGTATGTAGGTCTGGAGTCAGGGCTGAAGAGTTTATTTTCTCCTTAGAGGGTACCACTTTATTCTCTCGCACAAATGTGAATGGTTGCCATTTACACAAGTTACCTTGCACAAGACTTTGCCCTCCAGAGGCCACCTCACTGTTCTTGAAGACCTACCTTCTCCACGGAACCTTTAACAGAACTTTCCAGTTCCTGTGCCAGTCTAAATGTTGCTAACTGAAACAAGCCCGTAGGTACAGCTTCCCTCCTTATTCCTATTGTCTCTTTTCTCTCTTCTTCCTTGATTTCCTTTTATTGAATCTCAGATTGTAAGCTCATCAGGGCAGTGACCCATCTTCTTGAACTGTGCAAAATCCCGTAAAAAATATAAACAACAATTCTAGAGGAGAATAAAAGTATTTATGTGGGTACCCCATCAGATCAGAGTCTATCCTGTTCAGTTCCTGAGGTAGACCTCCCGAGTTCCTACCATTTGGAAATAATGTGTGTTATCTTTCTACATAGGTACATTCTGAATAGTGCAGAATTTGACCCTGGACCCCTATAGACAAACAGGGTCCAATTTTCTGTTTCCAGGACCAGCTTCAGTCTCTGCAATCTCCTGAAAATGAAATAGGAACTTGGCCCCATGTGTGTGTGTGTGTTGTGTGTGTGTGAAGGCCCTGAAGGCCACAGAAATATTGGAAGAGGCACATGCAGCGCCATGAGTTGTTGACCGCTCTTGCTGTAGCGTGACAAAGTTAAGAACAAAAACAGAGGGTGAATCTTGTCCCTAATTTTGATAATACCCTGCTTTGCTCTCCAGGAGAAATAACCCAGGTGTTTTCCTGGCGTTTGGGAACTGTTGGGTAACCAGGTTTTCAAGCTTAGTTGAAAATTTTATCCATTTCTGATGATTTCTCCGCAGCCGTGGGAATTGTGTACAAGCAAAGGCTGTTTTTTTTTTTTTAAAGGAACAGTAGAGCCACGGTTCAGTCGCTGCCATCTCCCTTGTTTGACATGTTCTCTCTCACTGTATAAAACGGTACTAACACTGTGTCCCCCCTTCTCATGCAGATTGAGAATGGGCTGTGTATCTGCGCGGCCATGCCCAGCAAACTGGTCGTCCTCCGCTATAACGAGAGCCTCGGCAAGTTTTGCATCAGGAAGGTAATCTTGTTCTGTCCGGGAGTCAGTGACCATTTGTTGAGAGTCGGTCCCTGGGATGGAGAGTCTGGCCGGCCGGCCTCTTTCTCCGTCTCCATTTGCCCTGCTGTGCCAGAATTGCAAAAGTGCCCTTGTAAATTGCTCAGTGTAAGCTCCTGTCCTGTGTGAAAGTCTGCCTAAAAGAGGCTTGTATGCCTGTGCTTTGTTGTTGTTTATTTGTTATTCCTTTTGCTGTTTGCAGGAGATAGAAACTTCAGAGCCCTGCAGCTGTATCCACTTCACTAATTACAGCATCATCGTTGGAACAAACAAGTTTTACGAAATTGAGATGAAGCAGTACACACTGGAAGGTACAGAGCCACTCCCTTCAGGCTCTCGTTCCAGGTGGGAAGGGGTGAGGAAGAGGAGAGCTGTCAGCTTCCTGCCTGTTCTACGTCCGTCGGCTGAAGCAAGAGAGAAGCCCATAGGGTTAGGGCAGGGGTAGTCCAAAGGTAGCAGCTGTCATGATGATGGGATATGTAGTCAGAGACATGTAAGAGGGAGTCAGACAGGTTCTGTGTGAAGACGATTTGAGAGAACACCCAGTGAAAAATGTGTACTAGTGCTGGCTGAGATCCGACTTGCAAAGTGCAGCCAAGGCACGTTCTTCTTCCTTATCCTAGGTGGTATCTTCTGCAATTGCTCCTGTTAACACATTGTGTGTGTGTCTGTCTGTCTGTAGCTTAGTGGCAGATCTGCAACTTCACATGCAGAAGGCCCCAGGTTGACTAACATCTCCAGGTAGGAATAGAAGTGACTCCCACCTCAACCCCTGAAGGGGTGCTGATGGACTAGATCATTGGTTCCCAACTTTGGATCCCCAGATGTTCTTGGACTGCAACTCCCAGAAGCCTTCACAACTCGCTGTGCTGGCCAGGGTTTCTGAGAGTTGCAGTCCAAGAACACCTGGGTTACTCAAGGTTTGGGACCACTGGACTAAATGAACAAATGGTCTGATGCAGAGTGAGGCTGCTTCCTAGCAAATCTTAATTTCAGACAAAAGAGCTGCAAAATGCAGCTGCCTCAATTATACACTTGCATTATACACGTGGGGGAAGGTTGATTGGATTGGATTGTGTTCTGTCCACTCCTGTTTTGATGAGGTTAGCCTTGTTGTTCTGTGAAGACAAAAGTGTGCCTGTTGGGAGTTCTGTGTGGATGAAATGATTATATACTGGTTTTGGAGGTGACTGCACCATTCACTGAATCTAAAAGAAGTCTGTGAATATCTGCTACTTTGTTCTCAGGAGAGAAGTCTGTGAATATCTGCTACTTTGTTCTTGAAGGTTTTGGAAGATGGACAGAAATCTGTAGTGTTAGGGTGCTGTATTCACACAAATTTACTTGTGGAGAGAGAGAGAAAGCTGCTGGAAAGTATCTTGTTTTTACCTGCCAGAGCAGATGATGAAAGATAGAACAAGACCAAGAAGGCAGGAAAGGATTATAAGGAAATGACTGAATGGTTGCAAGTGGGGAATTCTTTGTTAGTGGCTGGTTGAATGAAATAGGGCTGATGAGAATGGTGCTTTGTTCCCTCATCTTTAGAATTCCTGGACAAGAACGACCACACTTTAGCTTCTGCTGTTTTTGCATCATCCACCAACAGCTTTCCAATCAATATCATCCAAGTGAATCCTGCAGGCCAGAGAGAGGAATATCTGCTTTGCTTTCATGGTGAGTTGAGTGTAGAAATAATTCAAATTGTGACATCTGGGTCCCCCATGATAGAAACAGAAAGTCTGTTTTTTCCTTATGAAAGGCATTTAGATGTTGACTGCCATTCTCCTCCGTGGTCTCTGTGGATCACACTCGTCACACTGAAGGGTTGCTGTGCCTGTGCAGAGCCTGCCCAGAACACTTCTGAACTCATTTTTGGAGGTCACCTCGCCCACCCTTCATTGCACATATATAACTGCATCCCACGTGGAACCCTCAGTTCCTTTTTGTCCACCACCAAAGACTCAGAGCATCTCTGTTTGTTCCATCCCGTGGCTTCTAGCCTGCTTTTCTGAAGATTTCATTGGGGAGACCTCTGAAACACAGGGAAAACAGAAGCTTCACTCCTTTCCCATGAACAGGGAAGATAGGAAGCTCAACCTTCCGGGCAGAAGACTTGACTCAGCAACCGCCTTGGCTGCCTGCATGTGCAATGACCTGTTGGCAGTTTCTCTGGGAAAAGTTGGAACCTTTTCTCCAGAACCTCCAACACGATCCACATGCCTCTAGTCTTCTCTTTCATTTAGGACACTCAGCATTTAGCAGGTCACCAAATTAACTCAGCATCTCATGTGGCGGACTGTGCCTTGAAGATCATTATGGAAGCCGTGGCCATCCGCAGACGCTCCTGGCTCCAGACAATGAGCGTTCCAGAGGACTCTAAGGCCTGTATTGAAGAGGGCCTGTTTAAAGCCAAGACAGATGAGCTTATGGAGCATCTTGTCAGAACACACACCACTGCTAAGTGGATGGGCATCTCAGAGCCATTGTCCATGTACAAGTTACACAAGCCTACCTGGAAGAAGTTGCAATACCCATACCAGAGGCCTTGATCTCCAGCTCCATCTGTCCAACCTTCATCTCATACTAGCTCACCCAAGTGTTCATTCAAACACTCTAAGCAGTTCCTCCTCTTCTGGAAGACAACCTTCATCTTCCACCAAGTTGCATTTGGGACTGTTTCCCCTCTCATCTGTAGACCCCTTTCATTTCGGTTCTCAGCCTCCCACCATTTTTGCACTCTTTAACAATTCGGCACTCCCATCACCTCTCATCACAGTTCTCTCCATTATCGAGGTTAATTGGCCATTGCATTGGCCATTCTACCATTTTTTGCATGACCAAACTGTCTACCCTATTCCATGAAGAAATCTCCTCCCTTCTTCAAAAGGGAGCAATAAAACCCATTCCGAACAGGTGCAGGTTGACATGTTTCTTCTCCCAGTATGTCACAGTTCCAAAGCATGATGGAGGCCATCCCCTTGGCCGGACTGGCTTACAGAGTAGCCATGCGTTCCTCTGTCTCCATGCTGATGGTATGGAGAATGCTGGGCCCCGTGGCCTGCACCACTGCACTCACTCCATGGGCATGTCTCTACCTTCAGCAGTGTCGGCACTGGTTTCCCAAGATGTTCAATCCTTTAGCCCAGCCCAGCTTCATTTGGTTGACACCTCCATCCCAAACGTGATGAAGTCTTCTGTGGTGGACATACATATCCAATCTACCAGCAGGCATGACCTTCCAACAACTATTCCCAATGGTCACAATTATTCGCAGCCAATGTAAGTGGTGCAAAACAGGTGTCAAAGTTTCAGCGAGAAACATCCATTGGAACCCAGCTACCACGTATTGTACCAGCTGCAGCTTCTAAAGTGTCTTATGAAGAGCCCTGCTGAAATATATTAACCCTTCCTCCTCCCCCCCCTCTGTTTTTATACATTTGCATGTCTGCAGACATTGATTACAGACTTAAAATTAAAGGAGTGTTGTTGAAATGGATCCAAGCAAACAAATATAATAATTCTATGTCTAGTAATATAGTACGAGGAATTCTGTTGGGATTATTAGTCATTGTTATGAAAACCTGGCATCCCACCCAGACTGCCTCTGCATTCTGCCAGTGCTACGGGTGCTGCTGGATGGGTTAGGGAGGCTACGTTTCAACCAGAGTGGGTTTGATTTAAATCACGACTTAATTTTTTTTAAAAAAATAATAATAATTTGGCCATTTAAATCAAAAACTTGTGTTTTTTTGCTTTAAATAATGCTACCCAGACTGCCTCTGCATTCTGCCAGTGCTACGGGTCCCGCTGGATGGGTTAGGGAGGCAGCCAATTCCTCCAAGGAACAGGGATTGATTTAAATCACGACTTAATTTTTTTTAAAAAAATAATAATAATTTGGCCATTTAAATCAAAAACTTGTGTTTTTTTGCTTTAAATAATGCTTTTTAAATCAATTTGATTTTTTAAAAAAAATTATTGATTTTTATCCACCCTGCTTTCAACTGGGATTTTTAGGATTTTCTTCTAGATTCCCTTCGGGCTTTTTATTTCAGTGTCAATAAAGCTGGAGCTAACTATTCTATGATGTCTCTAGGCTACTGTGATTTCTCTGTTGGTTATGGATTTTAAGATGTGCATTTTTAAATTTATATATGTTTGCATTTGTTGCTGTTAGTTTTGCAAGCCACCTTGAGTGCTCTTTATTAGAAAGGCAGGATGTGCTCAGTCTAAATTCCATGTGCCACAATTTCTTCAACCAATTCCTCCAAGGAACAGAGGGCATTATGTATGGGATTCCCTGCAAAGAGTTGTGTCCCGACAGCACTTGGATGTTCTCAAGGACGAAGATGAAAGGGCATTTTCAGCTGATGCTCTGTTCTAGGCTGGTCTTTCCCAAACTGGTAACCTCCGGCTGTTTTGGACTTCCATGATCCTTCATCATTGGCCTCTTAGCTTGGGGCTGATGGGAAACAGCTGGAAGGCACCAAATTGGGGGAAGGCTTTTTCAAGAAGAATTGCTGCCATCTCCAGCAATTGCAGCTGCCTCTGTGTGATAGATAATGGAACTCTGGACTCCTAAGGAGCCTCCTTTCTCCCCTTATTTTTTCTTAAGAATAACAACTGAATTTGATGGGTGATTAATCTTCTTTCCCCCATGACAGAATTTGGTGTCTTTGTCGACTCCTACGGAAGGCGTAGTCGTTCAGATGACCTGAAGTGGAGTCGTCTGCCTTTAGCATTTGGTAAGCCCTGTGCAATTTCTCCCTAGTTTTGTGGTTGTCGCTGCCTTTTGCCTCGAATGCAGAGGACTGTAGAAACACTAAAATGAATCATCTTTCCTCTTTAGAATCAGATTTTCAACAAGATAGCACTGATATTTGATAATATTATCTTTTAAAAGATAATATGGTGGCTTTGACAGACACCCTCCCCAAAAGATTGAACCAAAATAATTGGTCTTGCAACATGCCAGGAGGTCCAGCCACCTGAGCACTTGAACACTAAATAATAACTAATTTTGTATTGCATTTCCTTTTCTGGTTATAGTGCATCTCTCTTGAGAGGTTTTGTTTAGTGTTTACGGTGTCGTAATATGTGGCAGTACAGGGCACAAATGTTTTCAGACATCTTTTGCTCTGTGGATCTGCATAATTTCTGGGTCTACACAATTTATCTGCAATTATGGATTGTCGCTTTGTGCTCCTTCATTTTGGGGAAAGGGAAACATCTGGGTCTACACAATTTATCTGCAATTATAGATTGTCGCTTTGTGTTTCTTCATTTTGGGGAAAGGGAAACGTCAGTTTTATGGGTGAATGGGGACTCTAAAGGAACAGGAATACCAACAGAAACTCCCCCTGCATATATATGAAAGCATTATGTGTACATTGCCATCACAAAGCTGTGAACCAAGAGGACGAGAAACTCTGTACGTGTTTATGTGTGAAAAAATAGAGGACAGTTTTCAAGAATTTCAGTTTGGTGCTAGTTCCTATGTATCAGGTTCTTCCCTTAGTCATGCTGTGAATTATGCCATTCTTTCTGCAGCTTTTAAAATCTCTGTTTATCTGAAGGGCAATAGTGTAGACTCTCTGTATGCAGCTTTTTTGGTCTGTGAGAAGGAGCTGTCCAGGACTGGCTTTAAGTCCAGGCAGTGGATGTAGAAGAGCTTAACAGTTCTGCTCCACAAGTTCCTCCCAGTTTTCTTGTCCAGCCTTCGTCCAAACTAGACCTCCTCTTTGCTCTCTCCTCTTTTCTGACCTTTTACATCGCTCTTCCTTTTTCTAACCTTTTATAATATTCCTTTCTTCTCATTTTATCCTTTTTTTGAAAGTCTTCACTCCCCCTCACCCTCACTTTTCTGTCGACTTTGCACTCTTGGGAGATGCATCCTTGGGTGGATGCCAGCCCTATACCTTGTTTCTTTATTTGTTAGTTATGTTTAAATCCCACCTGTCCTCAGGTGGCCTACAGGGCTGTCCTCCTCCCTGCTTCATCTTCATCACCGCCCTCTGAGGAAACCTAGCTGAGAGAGTGATCCACTCCAGGTGACCAGGAGGCATGTCATGGCTTAAGGGACACTTGACCTCAGTCTTTCAAGTCCTATTCCAGTCACGTACACTACACGGGACTAGTTAGGAACCCAGCCTAGGAAGACACTGGGGTTTTTTTTAGAACATAAGAGGATAAAAAGACATTTCTCATGGAATCTTTATGTTCTTTGTGGCTTCTGGAAGGCATCTTCCTTCTCCGGCACACCCATGGAGGGGGCAACAGATAAAACCTGTGGTCATCAGCTACAGTGTTGTCGTGTCTCTCGTTTTTGAGAGTTCAAGGTTTTTCAAGTTGCCTTCCCGTATGTGGCATCTGCTCCCTCTCTCCCCTTTCTAGACCAGCGATGGGGGCAGGTGGGTGGGAGGTATTTTAGTCTGGAATGTCAGGCTCTCCCACACCCCTTGAGAGTGGAGCCATTCCTCACCATGCAAAGGATCAGGCTCTTCTGAAGGATTTAGCACACCTTTTAGAACAGAAATTTAGGGCAAGATGTTTTTCCTTCCTCCTTCTGAGCCTGTAGCTGAACAAAAGCATGTTCTTCCCTTGCACGTTCCCCGCCTGGCTCCTGCTAACGTGACATCTTTGTTCTTGGCCTTCTCTTCTAGCCTACAGGGAGCCATATTTGTTTGTGACACACTTCAACTCCCTCGAAGTGATAGAGATTCAAGTGCGTGGCTCTCTTGGGTAAGTCAGCAGGACTTGCTTTCCCTAATTGTGTGAGTCAGGTGGTTCTTCAAGGCTTGGTGTGACTTAAAAGTATTCTCTCCTTCTCTTTTGCTCCCCAATCCCCACCCTCTCCCTTCCCCAATAGCACCCCAGCTCGAGCCCACTTGGATATCCCAAGCCCTCGCTACCTGGGCCCCGCAATTTCATCCGGAGCCATTTACCTGGCCTCCTCCTACCAGGACAAACTCCGAGTGATTTGCTGCAAGGGGAACTTGGTAAAGGAATCAAACAATGAACACCACCGAGGATCCTCGGCCACACGCAGGTGAGATGGCAGATTAAGACTCCGAAGGGTACCCGGCCTTTGTCTGAAGAGCTCCTGAAGTTTGAGGCAGGCAGGAGAGAAGCACGACAACAAACGACAGAGGCAAATCATTTCTTTCTTTCTTTCTTTCTTTCTTTCTTTCTTTCTTTCTTTCTTTCTTTCTTTCTTTCTTTCTTTCTTTCCTTCCTTCCTTCCTTCCTTCCTTCTTCTTCTTCTTCTTCTTCTTCTTCTTCTTCTAGGAATTTGAGGGACAGGGCTTTTTGTGACCTGAAGCTTGCAAGAAGATGGTTTTCTCTTGGGACAAACCAGGTGTCGTTAGAGGGGGTGGCATCAAAGTTAAAGTAAATGATAAACAATGGACACTCTGTAGGTGAGGAGAAGACAATTATGACCCTCTAGGTTGGGGGTCTCCAAAGTATGGCCCGTGGGCTGTATCCAGCCCGCTTTGCCTTTTATCCAGCCCAGGAAGGCGTGGGCATTCCTTTGACCCTTGAAAATGTGGGGAATATATGGCCCTCACGGTGAAAAGTTTGGAGACCCCTGCTCTAATTGATGCTGGACTACAGCTCCCATTTGCCCTCGCCAACGAGCTAGTGGTAAGGGATACTAGGGGCTGTGGACCAGCAGCCTCTGAAGGGCCATAGGATGCCTATGCCTGTTACAGACTTTAATTCTAGCTGAAAAGCGAGATGCGGAGGGAGGAAGAGCCACTTGTTATGCTGAACAGGACTTGATAGCCGGTTGAATGTGGGGACCAAAGGAGTGGAAGGATAAAGCCAAGGCACTTTTGTGCTCAGCGGGGCAAGGGATTGTGGCGACCATCAGTAATAGAGAGCAGCTGAAAAAAGCGAAAGCAAAGGTCCAGATTTGGGCATAGTAAGATGGCAGCCCTAATCGGCCACTACTGGCCTTCCCGTCTCCATCCCCAGGGGCTTTTGCTGACACGGAAGAGCCCACATGTGGGCGGCGACCTCTCTGCAGGCGTGTCATTCTCCAAAAAGGGGAGGAGCCACACACTTCCCTCTAAGCATGTTGGAACAAAGCAGCTAAAGAATAGCTGGATAAGGCTGAGGAACAAATACCGAGGAAGGACTAAGGCAAAAACAGGATAGGAGTTGGGGACAGAAGGTTGCCGATTGCTGTCAACATAAAAATAACATTGTGACAATTGATGAAAACACACCAAGTTTATTCAGATTCATTTATTATGACTGTAGGTATAAGCGATACATGTATAAGCGATACAGTAGAACCAAAACAAGTAGCTGTATTCTCAAGCAAAAGACTGTTATGTGCAAGGACAGGTTTAAAATCCAGTAGGATTTATAGAGTGGTTTACCAGTTACCTTTTTGTAGCAGTAGCAAGAAAACCATGTTTGTGAGATAGTAAGGGAACATGAATGGTCCAACCCCAACAGAAGGGTGGAAGAGGATTATGAGGGAAGCTAATAAAAGAGGCTGGAGTCACTGGGTACGAACAGAACTACCTAAGAACAGTGGCAGATATCCGGAGAGGTGCCAGGTAGCAAGCTGGAGGATGCACCTGCAGTTAGCGGCAGTGAAGCTGGCTGAGATGCCAGGGATGAAGGCAGAGTAGACACCGTCAAAGGAACAAGGGGACTGAGTTTCGTCTGTTAGTTTTTGGAAGCGAAGACCCGGCCACTAGAATACGGTGGATAACAACCAGATCATAGAGATCTAAGAGGAAGTTGGAGATGTGGGAATAGCTGTAGATCCAAAATTGTGAAGAGGAAGAGAGGTCAGTCTGTAGGTCAGAGGGGAGTATTTTTTGGAAATGGGGCATGCCCGCCCGCGGGAAGCCGGCCTGGCCCCATCTTTGCTGTCCTTCTGCAGGCAGGCGAAGACCTTTATTTTGAGTCAGGCTTTTCCTCAGCGACAGATTGGATGGTTGTGCTCCTTTACTTTTAAATGTATTTCTTGTATTGATTTTATTTCCCATTTTAATGCAATACTTGTTTAAATCTTTCGTAATATTTGTGTAGTTGACTGTTTTTAGGTTTTAAATGTTGTCCTTTTAATGTTGTAAGCCGCCGTGGGTCCTTTTAAGGAGAAAGGCGGGGTAAAAATATTTTTAAAAAGTAAATAATTAAACCAGTGTTTGAATAAAGTAGACAAGGATTTGGCAAATTGGTAGCCAAGGGGCAGGACTGGTTAGGATCAGGATGACCCATATCAGGATAAGCCTCTTTGGTAAAATTTTCCCTGCCGTCTATAATGCTTGGGTATATGGTCGAGCAGTCTTCACTAACATGGTACACTCTGGGTTTGAGAGGGCTTTGGTTTCACACTGGCAAAGCTGCACATGAGCAACTTCTTTGCAAAGATTATTCGCCAAATGTAGCTTTTTAGTCCTGATAACTCTGCCGAGGAGGAA